AACATGACTTTTATATGCACTGGGAAACCAAAACAATTATGTAACTCTATTGCAATATTCACTTTATTGCAGTGGTCCAAAACCAAACCTGTAGTATCTCCAAGGTACACTTGTATATATTTGATCCTCCTCCCTGGCCCAGGCATGATGTTTTTAAAAACTTTGGAATTTCCTAAGTAATTGAGAGCTATTTTGTTATGTTAATGACTGATGTTTGTACTGATGGGGGCTGATTGCCAGGAGAACCAACCTTATGATTAGAAGATTAGAACTTTCTGTCCCAACCTTCTGAGTTACAAGGAGGGGAGAGCAGGGGCTGGAGATTGAATCAATCACCACTGGTCAATGATTTAATCAATTATGCTGTCAAGTGAACTAAAAAAGAGTCTGAATGCTTTGGCTGGAAATAAACAATAAAGATTTATTCAAGGGTCTTTGGGTTTACGCACCAGAAACACAACTAGGCAATACCCAGAGTGTTCTGAAGAAGGAAGAAAAGCTAACCGTTCTTACAATAAAAAGTACATTCTTGAGAAGAATCAGTCTGACATTCTTAGCCTCTGGATTGGTCTGAGATGGTGATCCTCTAGTTGACCAGTGGTCTGCATAATGGATGTCAGATAGCCTGGATATGTGAATAGTCTGTCTTTGGACCTTTAGTGGGTAATCAGAGAGTTGTTTGGAGGTTTGGTGTATGTCCAGGCAATGACAAAGGACTGGAAAGTTCAAAAGTTTAAGTTCCCCAGGCTAGTTAAAATAAAGATAAAATCACTTCCTCACGCCTCAACCTACTGGATTTAAATGATTTAGCAGCTTAACTATGGTGACTTCATTTTATTTCTTCACTATTCCTCAATGCCTATTGTGGACAAAAAGGGGTCACATACTAAACCTGACAAGCTCAGGGGAGGACTGCATGATGGGCCAGACCAACTCAGAGACCTAAGGAACCATATAGAATAGTCTGAAATTAAAACTTGCTAGCTAAAAGTGAGTCCATGGAGGGTAGTCAGATCCTAGGCCCGTATCTTTCTCGACAAAGGTACCCTTAACTGAGCCTGTCTATGTCTTTTTCGCATCTACAACATAGCTTTGGAATGTCAGAGTAACCCCTTTTTCCAGACCTCTCAGGGCACAATCTCCCATTAGAACTCAAGACCACAGAACCCCTCATTGTTACCTTGTTCTCCTGCATAACATCTCTGTGTGCTGTAAATGTTACTTATTAACTATCCTGTAAATGTAAAATAAGTTATTTGTCTCTTCATTTTACTCTGTATCTAATCTCAGAGTTTTCAGGGGTTTGCTTTCTCTGCCTCCCTAATGTATCATCAGTAATTCTCCTGTAATCCTCCCTACGCCTCCTCCTTCTATTGTAATGTATAAAATAAGGTTAGAAACTGCCATTCTCTGGAGCATTTTCTCAATCTGTTGAGATTTTGCTTCCTGGCAATTATTGTCAGTTTAGCGTAAACTCATAAAAATTCTTAAAGGTTTGGACATTTCTTATGTTGATACTATGTAATGAAGACTCCATAAAAAAGGAAAGTTCAGAGAGCTCCTGGGTTGGTGAACCCTACGAGACTCTGGAAAAGGAGAGTTGTGCGCTCAGAGAGAGCACAGAAACTCCATGTCCCTGTCATCATGCCTTGCCCTGTGCACCTCTCCCTCCTGGCTAATCCTGAGTTATATCCTTTATAATAAACTCGTGATCTAGTGAGTAAATGGGTTTCCTGAGTTCTGTGAGCTGCTCTAGTGAATAGGTCATGGGAACCTCCAATTTGTAGCTGATCGATCAGAAGCATAGGTAACAACCTGGGCCTGGATTGGCATCTGAAGTCTTGTCAGCATAAACCCTCAACCAGTGGAATCTGATATCATCTCTGGGTAGGTAGTGTCAGAGCACGGCTTGTTGGTGTAGGAAAACCTTCCTCGACACACACATTGGAATTGGAATTTAGTACTGAAATATTTTTATTTATTTATTTATTTATTTTTCCAGTGTAAGAAAAATTGTCAGCATTATTTTGATAAACATTTCAGATTTCTGCATAGCACAGCATACTAATAGGCAAAATGTACACAGACTGGTTTTATACTACATGGCAAGTACCCAGTTCCCAATCCCAGGTAAGCAAGTTGCAAAGTACAAATGCTAATCATTTAACTATAGGTAGTATTTTAAACAAAAATAGGTAAGTTTTTAGCACTTAGGTGACGTGAGGCTTTAATCAAAAGAGACTTAATTCCATAGGGCTTCTTTTTTCAGCAGTAATGAATTCAATCAAGTCTGTGATTCCAAGCTTAAGTGACAGTGTTATGTTTGAGGCCCGCAAATGAGGCAGTCAACCTTAAGTGGTAAATTACAGTATGTGCTACATTCTGGACAATCTCTCTAAGTAGGTTCAAGTTTTAGAACTTGCTTTGGGGTCCAATAAAGCAAGAACTAGAGAGAAGGGCTCTGACCCCACTTTGAGGAACTGCAATGTAATTGCTCTGTCCTGCCACAGAGGTACGCTCTTAACATTGGTGGTCTTTTTTAAAATCCTCACCCGAGGTTATTTTTAAATTTATCTTCAGACAGAGTGGGAGAGAGAGAGAGAAATATCGATGTGAGAGACACACATGGACTAGTTGCCACCCGCATGACCCTGGGGACAAAAACCGCAAACGAGGTATGTGCCCTTGGCTGAAATCAAACCCGGGACTCTTTGGTCCGCAGGCCAGTGCTCTAACTACTGAGCCAAACTGGCCAGGGCAACATTTGGTTGTCTTTTTAAAGTAAATCACTGTGAACCACAAAACTTTTATGCATGTATACATGAACAATGGACATGTACAACAAAGCTGGGGACAGGGGGGGATGGAGGGGGAGGGGGTGTCAGTGGGGGGGGGAGAAACATCTGTAACAAAAATAAATTACTTAATTAAATAAAAAATAATAATAATAAAGTAAATCACCATGCAATCATAATAGCACACATACACAAAGCTAAATGGAGAAGGGCCATAAATTTGGTCAAGGTCTCATTTACCAGGTATCCTTAGGCATCAACCTCTTTACTACAGGAAGATGAGGGTCAGGATTTCTTTATGCACTTTCCAAGTACAAAAGAAGAATCTGATTTAAAATATGTCTCCATTTTTTCAGGAATCCCCAGTACTGCAATTTTTGTCAGTCCCACCAGAGAGCGGCCTTTCTGCATTTATGTTCTTATTGGCAAAGCACTTGAGTCATCTCAGCACACTTGTCAGACTCCCAAGCCTGAGCAGTCCTAACTCTTAAAGCTTTCGTGACCTACATAAATTCCCAGACTAAAAAAATTAAACCTTCTAGATAGATAAATGTGAAAAGCCAACAAGATGACCCACTGAAGAAAGGCCTGAGGATCTGGGTTGAGGACATTCTTTGACCTCGAGCAATAAAACCGACACTAAAGATGCTGAGGTGAGCGCTTCTTCCTCCCCAGCCCTATGTACAGCTATGGGTCCGAAGTTGCCCCCAGTCAGGTTCTGGGAAGCGAGAACTTTCACTGGGGTAAAGGAACTGCAGGAAGTGGCCTGTGGCTCCATGGCCCTCTTTATGCTGCCTAGGAAGAGCTGAATGTTGACTTGTATCAGAGTGGTTCAGAGGCGTGGCCAAGGCCCCTGCTCCAGGCTAAAATAGGCGGCCTGAGGATTTCCCGGGCTGCTCCATTAGGGTACAGAACCCTGCTTGAGACCAGTGAGCTGATAGCGCATCAGATTTTTTTTTTAATCCTCACTCAAGGATATTTTTTCACTAATTTTTAGACAGAGAGGGAGGGAGGGAGATAGAGATAAACATCAATGTGAGAGAGACACATTAATTGGTTGCCTCCCACACTACCCATACTGGGGCCAGGTATCGAACCCGCAACCAAGGTATGTGCCCTTGACTAGAAAGCGAACCTGTGACCCTTCATTGTGTGGACCAGTGCTCTAACCACTGAGCAAAACCAGCCAGGGCCACATCATAAGATTAATAAAAGATACCCATACACACTTCAATTAAGTGACTTACATATACTGCAGACTACTAGACTAGCATTACAGGCTGGTAACAGTTGTATTATAGAAGAATCTGAAATAAATGTTTCCTGTTATAATAACTAAGGTGGCCAGTTAACACTAAAAATACCCCCCCTTTTTTTAAAAATATTTTTTCTTTATTGATTTTTAGGGAGAGGGAGAGGGAAAGAGAGATAGAAACATTGATGAGAGAGAACATCGATTGTCTGCCTCCTACATGCCCCCGACTGGGGATTTGGCCCACAACCCTGGCATGTACCCTGACCAGGAATCAAACCGGTGACCTCTTAGTGCATGGGTCACCGTTTAACCAGTGAGCCACATCAGCTGGGCTCTTCCCCCTTCCTTCTCAGCTGCTGCAGTAACTTCCCTGTCCACGCTCCATCCTAACAAGGTCAAGAGTTGTTTGCATGTCCACAGCCCTGCTAGACTGTAAACTCTGTGTGTGGGTCACCATGTCATCCCCACATTTGTTGCAGGACCCGTGCTTGACATTTGGGGGTAGAATAATGATACAGTGTTAGAGATACATCCTCCTCTGTGGCTGGGTCTTTGCACAGAGATTAATGTCTCCCAGGCCCATCCTAGAAATGCAGATAAGCCCTTCAGGATATCTGTTTTTTCCTTAACTGAAACTAGTCTGGGAAATTCTTTGAGTGCTAGGAACTATCTTCTAAATTCATTTATCTATCCTTTTAATCACTAAATAATCTCCTCATACTAATTGTACAAAACACTGAGTTAGTTACTGTTGGGAAAATTGATGTGTACAAAATAAAGATATATCCATTGATATATGATATATTTGTGTATGTGTGCACATCATATGTATGTATGTATGTATGTATGTATGTATGATGTAGTTGGAAGAGTTAAGGAAAAGAAAAAAAAACACCCATCCACCAACCAAACAAAAACATCACTCTAAGTCATATGTAAAAATCCTTTATTGTGGAGGAAGCCAGGGGAATCTAGAACCAGTGCCCGGCTGAAACTGGGGATGCTCACTGTGCACTTTGTACATCAGCAGTGGGTAGAGGGATGGGGAAAGAGTCTAAGCACAAGAATGTTACAAGGTTGGGAAGAGAAAAGAAAATAGGAGTGCATGCACCTGGGGATTCGAAGAGGGCGACAGAGTGTCTTCCGGATGCAGCCCAGGAGTCTAGAAATGGAGTGCTGAGGACCAAAAAAATAAAATCACATCCTCTGTCCGGTAAGACTCCCACCAACCACCTGCCGGGGAAGCAGCAGGGGAAGGGGAGGGGCATCTGTAAGGGAGAAGGAGTGAGAATAGAAGTCTTAGGCACAGCCCCTCAGTCCTTGAACTAGAGACCAACGCTCCTGCTGCGGGTGCACCTTCCCAGCTGTGTATTTCTGATGTTACTTACAAACACCTGTGATCACAGTCTGTGGGGGAGGCCCGTACAAAAAATGTAGTGACCAAAACAAAGTTTATATTATCCCAGCATCCCCGTAAACCAGGCATACACACAGCACCATCCAATGAGCCCTGGTGCCAATGCACCCCAGCCTCACCCAGTCCCTCCTCTTTCCAGACCTCCCACCCCAGCTCCCCAGCAAGGACAGGGATCACTTCCTTTTTCAGCATTTTCACATGAATGAAACAAGATGATACAATGATCTTTGTTTATTCATCTCATCTAATCTTCTTTCAATGCCAGCCAGGGACGTTATGTCCTATTCTTCCTGGCACCTAACAGGTTGAGAATGCTCCATCAGTGGTGAGATTATGAAAGCTGCAATTATGGGCCTGGTCCCTCTGAAAGAGCCTAGATTCACCAGCAAGCAGTAAAAGTAGATTTCCACAATGCACTTGTTTCTGCTATTTGTATAAAATACTATGGCAAAATTGCACTGTAATTATCTTTATGGCTGATGCCTAACGCTAGGGGAGAGTGTGTCATCCAGATATAGTTGCCCGTGTAATTATCTGGCGGTCGGCAGGATTGAAATAACCATCTAATGAGAGCAAAATGATATGGTAAGTACCATGTAATCAGCGAGTTACGATTATTATGGCTCTTTGTGCCCTCTCACCCAACACTGAACGGGGGGCCAGACCTCGTCTCTGGGCCCCGGGAGTCATGCACAGGCAGTTTCATGGAGAGCCAGCTCCTGCTCCTTCGGTCTCCCTTGAGACCAACGACTGTGGGTAATAGGGACACAGGGAGAGGGGCAACCATCTCTCCATAATAAGTGAGGCTTCCACATGCCTCTCTTCCTCCACCCCCACTGCCTCTTCCTTTGGAAACCAGCACATCAGTTGAGCTGCTGTCGCCGTGTGTGGGAAGAGAGTGTCCAGGCGGAAGGTTCTGTTTTGACGAGACACTTCCCTGGGGCACTCACACTTGCATACCAAGTGAGAGATCCTCAGCCCACTCAGGCCTCGGCTCAGCCCAGACCGCCCTAGGCAGACAGACCAGAGCCAGCCAGGGCAAACACTGGGCCGTTCCCCACACCTGCCAGACCACAGCAATCAACCAGGCCGACACAGAGCCTGTGTGCCTGGCACTGTTCTGAACACTTGACCTATACTCAGTCCTCAGATCCACAGCTCTGCAATGTCCTATTATCACCCCCATTTTTCATGGGGATAGTGAAGCACAGGGGGTTATGTAACTTGTCCAAAAGAACATAGCTAGTGAGTGGCAGATCTAGGATTCGAACTCAGGCCATGCCTTTGTCCATTACACTACACAGAGTGACTAAGAGAGTTTCCAGCTGTCCCCTATTAGATTTCAGGAGTTCCTTGCATTTCTTCCTAAATCATTCTTATGTAGAGTGGACCCAGTAAGTAGACATTCGAATAATCTGAACAGTTCAGCCTGCCTGGGAGGCAAAGCACTTCACCTGTGACTAGGACGTGGGACCTGTAATCATCAGACGATGAGCTCTCCATCTTTGCACAGACCAAGAGAGAACGGAATCCAAACAACAGAAGTTGCCCATCAGAGAAGCACCAGGGGACAGAGATGAGATGAAAAAGAGGGCTGGTGCGTGTGCAGTGCGTGCGTGCGTGTGTGTGTGTATGTGTGGTTGTGGAAGAGCACAGGGCCTGTAAGTACTGGTGTGTCTGACAGCGTACTGGGCACTGGCAATGTATTTTAGGGCAAATTTTTGAGCATTAATGCTTGTGGCATCAGAGGAAATGCTTCTTTGGCAACCTGCACTCACACACACACACGCACACACACGCACACACCTGTTTCCCTAACAAACACTCCTCACCTCATTCCACATCAGGGGGGTACTTGTGGCTGCCAGAGCTGGGGACATTCTCTTGGTTCACATCAATAGGAGTGTCTGGGGTAAAGTAAACAATGTAGTTAGGAGGGATTTTTCTGAATGTGACCTTCACCCTGACCCAACAACAAAAGGCTGGCTATGAAGGGCAGCACTGGAAGGCAGAGCTGGGAAGAAGAGGAGATGGGAGGATGCGGAGCCTCTCTGACCACACCCCACCCTCAAGCTGCTTCAGGACCATTTTTTTTCTTTTAATCCTCGTTCGAGGACATTTTTCCATTTTTTGTTCAGATAGAGTGGGAGGAAGAGAAAGAGAGAAAAACATCGACATGAAAGGGACACATCAAGTGGTCGCCACCCACACGACCCAACCAGGGCCGGGGACAAACTGCAACCGAGGTACGTGCACTTAGCGGGAACCGAACCCGGGTCTCTCCAGACCGCAGGCTGATGCTCTAACCACTGAGCCAAACCGGCCAGGGCAGGACCATCTTATAAAGGTCTCCCAGGGAACCCTGCACTGTAGAACCAAGCTGATTGGGTAGAAAGGGCCAAGGAACCCTCACTGTACCTAAGAGAAGTCTTGTCTTTCCCTCTGAGGACAAATATGATGCTTTTGACTTCTGCATGCCTTGGCCAGTCCCGTAAACCTATCACTGTACCTCCACACACTCTTACCTGGCTGGATGTTCCTCCTGCCCATAAGTCCCACAAAGAAGTCATGCATGTCACCTGCAGGAAAAGGGCCAACATTATCCCCAGTAACCATCAGTCACGGGGCCCCATGCCCATGGAGCTCTGAACTAGTGGCCAGCAGAGAGAGGGAGGAAGAAGAGGCTACTCACGTTTCTGGAGAAGTGACAATTTCTTAGGATCTGTGAGAATAAGAGCAAGTTTGTAATTGGTGAGTGGAATCTGGAAAGTGACAATTAGGGGGTGGTTCAAATCACAACTCTCAATTATTCACTAAGCCGTCTCCAGTCTCCTTCCCACATGAAGGGGTCTCCCAGGCCAATTTAATCTTCAGAATCCTGCCCCCACACATCCCTCTCCCGAGGCTGCCTCCTACCCTTGCTAGCTCTGCCCAGAGTTTTGAGCAATTCATCCACGGAGACTGAGCCGCTGCCAGAGAGTGTCTTCAGCAACTGGTTAATATCCGGGACTTTCTAGGGAAGAGGAACAAGGGCTGAGGCAGGAGGCTCACACCCAACCCACTCTTTTCCCACAAGAAACAGCCTCTTCTTGAGTCCAAGACAGCTGAACCTGACATCTTATTTCTTCCAGGATTTCCTCTGATTTACAGTGGAAGAGCAGTGAGCTCTCAGAGCCTGTGGCTGTGGGCCAGCAACATCACCCCGGGAGCTTGTTGGAAATGCAGAATCTCAGGCCTACCCCAGGTGAGACAGAGTCTGCCCTTTAACCAGGCCCCCGGCGGATTCATGCGCATGGCAAGGCTCCAGAGCCCTGGTAAAGGGAACATACCGGTGATCCCCGCAGGCTGACCTGCTGCTCCTGTTTGCCCAAGAGTAAGGGCTCTCCTCGGATGTGGGACTTTCAGTGCTCAGGCTGAGATGGTCTGAGCAAAACTGAGACCCTTGGCCATGCTATCGCCAAGCTCACAGGCCCTTGGAGCTTCTCCCTTGAGGCCTTCTCCCAACTCCTGCCACCTCTCAGTGAGAAGGGCCTTCGGTTCTTTGCTCCTTGGCACTTCAGGAACTAGTTCGCCCATGGATGAGGTTACCCCGCTGAATGAGCCATGAATCCCCCCACTCACAGGCAAGGCCCACCAGACAGAGCAAGTGTTCTCTGGTCTGGGCTCCATGACTGAGCTGCAGACAAGTCTCGGTCCTGGGGACAGCCAGGGGCAGGAAGCCAGGGCACGTCTGCAACCCTGAAGTGCCCCGACTCTGTGTTATGTCTGTGGATGTTTCTCTCCCTGCCTTTCCCACGGCCTCTCGCTCTCTTTTCTACTCCATGGGTTTCTGCCTCTGGTTTTCCTTCTCCCTTTTGACCCTAGACTCAGAATTTCAGGAAAGCAGCATGTTCAGAGTGATGTCGCTTCTCCTCCATCCCACAGATGAACCCCAGATTCTGGACCTGCTGCCAAGGGGCTCTTAATTGTCTTGGTGATGTTTTTAGCAATTTGGGCACAGCAGGATGGTCAGTGGGCACGCACCACACTCCCCGTTCATTGTAGCCGCAGAGACAAATGACAATGACCATGTTTGGAGATGCTCACCCTGACTATCAGAGGTGCCCCTCTCTCCAGAGTCCACGTGTCCCTGGGCTGCTGAGCACACACAGGAGCACATGGACACAGGACGCACCCCCACACAGACCAACCTGGTTACCTAGGCACTCATATGCCCTACCTCTCCCCTGCCCAACTTCCCTCATTCTTACAGACCTGCGAGGAGAAGGGATGGGACAGCAGTCTTTCCCTTTCATTGACCAGGACAGGCAAGGTCTGGAAGCAAGTTTGCCTCAGAGGAATATATACAGATATTCTATCTCAGGTTGGAACTCTGGGCTCCGGACACAGTGCCCAGCCCATGTCTGGCGCCCCCTATGTGTTTTTCGAACTGGTGCTTGTCTTTTGTATCTGGTGCAGCTGCTGCCACCTGCAAGGCTGCCAGCCGGTGTGTCTGCTGCACCTCCCAGCTGGGCCAAGGCTGGCGATCTCTGGCTTTGCCCAGCGCACAGCTTCCCAGGCAGCCACTTGGTCCAAATTTTCCAAATGCTCTGCCCACTTCCTGTAATGAGATGCTAAGTAGATTTGAGCTGGAAAGGCAGTTAGACTTCACACACTGAATTTGGAATAAGTTCCACCTACAATCATCTTAAAAGCATTTCTACCAATGTCATTGCTACCATTTCAAAACCTTAAAAAGACTTCCTCCTTGCTCCCCTGTAGCCCTACCCTGGCAAGTCCTATTCCTTTTCCTAGAGGATCTTGAGGAGTTAGGGCCTAACCCATTTGGTGTTTGTTTTTGTTATTATTTTGATATCCTGACTAAGCAGAGGCTAGAGTGGGTCAAAGGAGAGGAGAGAGAAAAGGGTTGGGATCTTAGGAGCACCTGAGGTTAGGGGGGTGGATGAGCGGGGGATACGGGAGTTTATTTGAATTTTTAAAACAAAATAATACACATAACTGATAGGTAGACTAGTACACAAATGACGATTTGGGGGAGAAATTCTGACTGTGTTTCATATCATCCAGGGAGTAGATAGAACCCTGTCCCCCTCCCTGCAAAGGGACAGAACCCAAGCTGAGCCACACGAACCTGAGACCAGCCCGGCCTGCCCAGGCCTACCCCTCGAAATACCATCACCAGTCAGTCACATTGGTAGGGCACCCCTTACATACAAGGTGTCAAACTCGAGCCGCGGGACAGATTCTTACAGACTAACCCAAAGGCAGTGAGAACAGGAGCTGATCAGAGAGGCAGGGAAATCCAGCCTCTAAAAAATAGCCCAGGTAACTCCCAACCCACCGGCTACACCTTCCCCTACTGCTTTTGGAACCAGCAAAGCTCTTGCTCCCGTGATGCTGCCCAGTACTCTGCCGAGGCAGCCCGGCCTGGGGAGTGCCTTACCTCCCTGCGGCCCCCACTGCGCACCACCTGCTCCTGTGACCCCTCACAGACGGCCCCTAGAGCCAGGCTGAGGGCCAGGACGGCTGCCAGCAGCAGGGCGCTCCGCATGGTGCCTACAAGAGCAAAGAGACAGGAAGGGAAGGCGGGGGAGGACACAGGCGAGGGCAAGCACAGGGAACATTCCCGACCAGCAGCCTGGTTTGACCCTGCTTCCTCAGCCCCCGACTCTCTCATTCAACCCCTGGTCTAGATAGAATATCTCTGAGCAGGGGGACGTCCACTGGGCTTGTTCCCTGCTCCCCCATCTGACGCATCTCCCCAGATGTGCACCTGGTGGCAATGAGCAATGATGCTGCAGTGCTGGGACTCGGCTCCAAAGGAGGAGGGTAGACTTACAGGACGTGCACAGGTCTGTTTCCTCACTCAGCTGGAGGAGGGATCCTGGACTCTATTTTCCAGCACTAGGCAACCCCTAGACTTAGGCAAAAACTTTCTAGCACAGAACAATCAGTCTGCACCCACAGGCTCCAAACATCACTAGCTCTCAACCCCTTTCTTTCTGCTTTCTACTCAATTCCCAGTACCTGCTCCCAGATCAAAGGCTGCCACTTCCTGTACTTCTCCTGACTCTGGCCCCTACCCTTTGGTGCCAGCTGTAGGTAACGTTCTCCCGTCCATGCCTACCTGTGGAGCAGCTTTGAGCCCACAGCTGGATGGTCTAGTAGAGTCAGGGAGCTGGCCGGAATTACTGCCCTGCGTCCCACAAAAGCTGGTGCTGCTGTGAAGAGAGAAACAGGGAATGGAGGGGATCTGGAAATGTGGCAGGATCTCTGGCCCAGCTCCCTGATAAAGGCTCTGGGAAGGTCTGGGGGAACCGGGGGAGGGGCTGAGAATCACCAATCCCAGGATGGCTGGAGAGGAGGGGGAGGCTGGTGGGAAGGAGGGTATAGGCTGCAGCCACACACACACACACACACACACACACACACACACACACACACCAAATCCATCCGTGAGCTGGGGTTATTCAGCAGCCCACTTTCCAACAGCCCCTGAGCTGGGCACGCTAAGGAATAATTTGTGTGTGGTTTGTCACAAAATTTGCATGCCGCATCTAGCTCAACAGATGTGGTCCCTGGGCCTCTTCCTCCTCCTTGTCCACCCACTAGCTCCTTGCCCTTTAAACCTGCAGGTTAGACTGCCAGGCCAGAACAATTTCGGGGGGGGGGGTGCTCCTCTGGCCCTCCCACTACGAAGACAACTAGGACAGCCAAGTTTAGGTCCCTGAACATGGGAAGGTGATCCTGGCATCCCCTCTAGTCCTCACTTCACCCTCTGTTCTCCTCTCGGCTGGAGCAGACCTGTCACCTTGCCCTCAGATCAACTGAGGGTCAGCACTTCTCCCTGCTGTTGAATACAGAGCTCGTCAGTGTCTGGCTCCATCCACCACCTCCCCAGGGCCAATGCCTCTCTCCTTGCCCTCTCCACCCCACTCCTTCTTAACCCCGGAATCAGCCTGACTTAGTTGCATCCTTCTAGAGTTCTCATTTCTAGCTGTCCTAATTTCAGAAAGGAAGAACAAAACACTACAGCTAAACTGTTCCCCTACCCTCGCCCCTAACCCAGCACTGATCTCTTAATTGCTTCATTTTCCCTTAGAGTTACATTTTTGCCACTTTCATCTATCTCCCTGAAGCTCAGGCACCTTCTTCCCTGACCTTTCAAGCCTCTTGTTCATGGCCCACACTGTTGAGGAGGCTTATGCTTTTCATCTCACACCCAAGGTTGAGCCCCAGGGGAGAGTCAGAGGCATAGTCAGGATCAGAAAGGAGACCCAGAGAGAAAAGATGCTGCTGATAGAGGTTAAGGGAGAGACGAAGTGAAAGCCGCTGCAGAGTGATCCACGCTCCCATCCTTTATAATGGGTGCAGGGTTGACGTGTTTGCAAGGTTAGCACAGAGCAATCCACTTGATTTCCATCACCACCACCACGTGAGTAGGAAATGTTCCCATTTTTCAGATGAGAAGATTGAGGCTCAAAAAATTCAGGACATGCTCTGGGACATGCAGCTATTGGAGAACAGCCTCAAATTCAGGTTTTGTCACTCTAGGCCTTTCCTGGCGTGAACTTTGACCAGCAAGGGAATAGCTAACTCTCTCAGAGGCAGTTAGAGATTTGGGACTGTGTATTCTTCTACATCTTGAGATTGTAACTCTGTTTTGTATTTACCACAAGGCCTCCTGCTCACCAGCACCTTCCCCACCTACCCTACTTGAAATTACTACCATTTCATGCTCTATGTCCCCCACCTGTTTCTTTTCTTCACGCACTTCCGACATCCAATCAGCTAAATGTTTTACTAAGAGTCTGCCTACCCCACCCTCCACCAGAATATCTGCACCACAAGGGCAAGGACTTTTGTCTGTTCTGTTTGCTACTGGATCCCTAGCTCTATAGTGTGTGGCATATAATAGGTGCTCAACAAACATTTATTTATAAAACATTGCATTGCAACCCACAATGTGGATCCTCCATAGAGCCTCTCCAGAGCAGTTAGGGTCCTGAAATGTGTGGCTCCCCACTCCCTGCATCCCTCCCACCCTGGGACTCGGGTCATACTGAAAGGAGTCACTCTGGCTGCACAGGACCCTGTCCATGCTCACCTGAGTGAGGGCAGCAGCTGGGTCTCAAGGCCCCTTTATTATGTAAAAGGCAAATGAGGCCTCATTGAAAGCTTCCCATTACCCACCTAATTACAGAGCCAGGACCGAGGTTTGGGAGCCTTTGGTGAGATGAGGATAGAAGTGGGAGGCTGTTTACATGTAAATGGCATGACTGGTTCATGTCTTTGAGAACTTCAGGGGCTGCTCTAATTGGACCTCGCCATCTCCCACCTCCTGCCTCCCACCAATCTGGAGGAGGTCCAAGCTAGGAGGCTGAAGGGAGTTGGGAATGCAGGAAGAGGAATGTGTTGGCCTGAAGGCTGAAGACTAAAGCCTCCTGGGTCCCGTTCCCCCACCAACCCAACCATCCCTGCCCCTGAGCCCTGGCACCAGGGAAGCAGGGCTTCCGCAAAGGTTCACCATGAATAATGTCCTTTGATGATGTGGCATCTCACAGAGCATGGCAGGAGCCAGGGGTGGGGGTGGCAAGGGAATGGCAGGGAGAACTGATCGCCCCTTGATCTCTGGGATCAGCAAAAACTTGAAAGAGCTGCTGCTAAACTAAGTCAGAGATGATGAAGGAGGAAGGCTTTGGAGGTGTTTACCAAGCAAAAATGAATCAGGAGGCGTCACTAGAATTAAATGACAAAGTTTTATTCAAGGGTCTTAAGATTTGCAAACTGGAAACAAACAAACAAAAAAACACTTCCAGGTTAACACCGAGTGTTCTGAAGAAAAAGTTGCAAGTTCTTATAGCAAAAAGTACATTCTTGAGAAGACTCAGACTTGCATTCTTAGGCTCTGGATTGGCCCGAGATGGTAATCTTCCAGATGTCATGGTCTAGATAATGGATATCAGGTGGTCTGGACATGTAAACATTCCTTCCCAAGCTCTTGAGGGGGTGTCTATAGGAATTTGGTACATTTCCAGGCATCGATGCACAACTGGAACGTGTAAGTTCTCAGGCTAGTTAAAATAAAATAAAATCTATTCCTCATGTTTCAGCCCATTCTGACCTAAGTAATTTTGTTAGCTTGGCTATGATGACTCCATTTTGTTTTTTCACTCTTTCCTCAGATGGCTAGGGCAGACCAGGCTTCATTTTGCCCACATATAGCACCTAGGTGGTTTTTCCTTTGAACACCTACTCTTTATTTGAGCCACATCTCAGACGCTGTCACCGGCCTAGAGGGCAGGGTCCCTTGAGAGACTCCCTCTAGAGTTCCCCTTCGCTGCTGGGGAGGGTTGAGGGTGTGGCCAGGGAAAGGTGTATTCGGTGGAGCTGAGATGAGACAGGTGAGTTGCTGTTCCCAGGACAGAGGTGGAAGCCAACTCAGCTTGTGCTGTGCACACAGACGACCTGCATGTGCCCACCACATGCACACCCGGAGCGCACTATCCTGGGGGGGGCTGCGGGGTGGGGAGGAGGAGCCAAGGCCATAAATGACACTGGCTGGGGTGCCAGTGAAGAATGGAAGGATGGCAGCTTCTGTGTCCTGCCGAGTCCTGCAGCCAGGAGACAACCACAGAGCAAGGAACTGAAAGAGCTCCTCAGAGCCTAGAAGAAACAGCAGAGCCCGAAGGGCTGAGCTGGAGCTGGTGTGAGCTGTGAGATGCAGGAATGGCTCCTGGTGGGGGTCAGGAGACTCCAGGATAGTTATGCCCCTCAGGGTTGAAACGACCTGCACTGAGAATGCTGGACTGGCTGAGTGGGGGGGGGGGTTCAGGACAGCAGAGCTCCAGCTTCTCCCATCATGACAGCCAGTTCAAGCCCCATAACACAGTGGGGAAACTGAGCCCCCTAGGCTTCAGAGGAGGAAAACACATACTCCTGGACCCCAAAAAAGAAGGGAGGCAGAGACAGTAAAGAGGAAGAGAGAGGTGCAAAGTAAAGAAGGAACCCCTACCCTTCCTCAAACTAGCACCCCTCCACATGACTGATGGGGGAGGACAGGAGGCAGGGCAGGGACCCAGGCCCTCCCCACCCCCACCATGCCGAGCCCAGGGAGCTGACAGTGCCTTCAGCCCGGGGAAAGGAAAGGCAGGGAGCAGTAGCCGCATATTCTCCTGAAATTGCCTCTGAAAATAACCAGACACTTCACTGGAAAAGTGACGACAATTTGGGCCCTGGGAGCAGGAGATGAGGCAGAGAGCGAGGGAAGTCAGGCTCTGGTCACAACAGGATCTCCTCCGGGTGATTCTGAGAAGTCAAGAATGGGGGGAGCTATGGGGGTGGCAGAAGGCTGGCCAGAGCCTGAGGTACCCCTGTTCAGGACACAGCCCCCATAACAACTCTAGCCCCTCACCCCGTGTCCTATCTCAGCTCAGTGCAGTTTGTGCCAGAATGCGGGGCTTGTGCTCAGATAGCAAGATTAATCTGCAAACAAGAAGTTTATCAGGGCTCCTGAGCCCCCCGCAGATGGATGGAAGCAGGTGGAGGGAGACCTCAGCCTCCAGGCACAGTGGGCTCAGTGGTGGAGACAAGAAAGAGGCAGCAGGAAAGGTAGACACCGAAAGGAGGGAGAGATACCCAGAGACAGAAACAAAGGCAGCCATTTGCACACTCTTACAGAGCACAGATCTAAATTTTACTGCAAATATAGGAGCTGCTTCTTCCCTAAAGGTAGACACTGGGTGAAACAAGACCATCTAGGAGGAAAACCATATGAAAGGGACATATTTAAAGCATTATACAAAAGATTATGTATTAATATTAGCAGCCACAGAAACGGGGACAACGAGATGGTGTGAGACAGTTGGAAACCAAGGAAAAAATAATGACAATGACACAGGGGAAGTAAATGAAGACAAGAGGAAAGAGGTCAATCACAAGGATGGGAGAATCTGGGTGGGGAGCCTCCCTGTCAAATGCCACCAGCTGCAGGCCCCAGCTGTGGACAGTGATTAGCAAGACAGCTCTTGGCAGCAGCCTGGCATTTCTGGTATATGGGAAGGAAGGGGGTGCCAGGGTGGGGCAGCTATGATGAGCCCAGTGCTGAGTTTGGGGATGGGGGTGCTGGAACTCCTGGGTATAGGGGACCCTGCACTCCCCAGGTCACCTCAGTTCACATGAGCCCCCTATCCTTAGGCCTCTTCTCAGGCTGAATCTCCAAAGGATCCCAGTTTTTGCCAAGATAGGGATTCTCACTTCTTCCCTCCAGGGACGTACTTAATGAATCAGCCCATCAGCCACCTGCGACCTCAGTCCTGTCCCTGACTGTCCCCCCCACCCGGCTCTTCAAACTGCCCCTCCTCCAAAGCTCAGCCGGTCAAGGACCCAGAGACAATTTCCCTTCTTTCCCATTCTTATTATCTGCTGTAGCTGGTTCCGAGGAGCCTGCGGGACGGGAAAGAGAGGGGGCTAAGTACAAGTCAGTGAGAAGATGGGACCAAGCCTTCGGGAAGTCACTTGTTTTATTAGTGGGCAGAGAGGCGCGGGTGGGAAGAACCTAACTTTGGAGAAAGGACTAGGACGGTTTGGGAAAAGAAAGGTCCTCTTCAAGGGTTCTTCAGTCTCTGAGCACCACCCCATGGTCAGAGGTGGGTGGGTGGGGCTGGGGCTGGTCCAGGAGGAAGAAACTGCCATCTCTGCATCAGGCCCCACCTCCTCACTAAACAGTTACTTCCAGGCTATGACTCCCCTTCTTCTTGCAGTTTAGCTTGCCATTCCCATCACCCTTAGGCCCCTGGATGACCTTGACAGCCACATCGCTCTCCTTGAACCTCACTGAGAACCTGGAGGAGGAACAGACAGAAAGGCAAAGCTAGTGCCCTCATCTCCTACACAAATACATCCCCCATCCCTAAGGTCAGAAGACTCAATACTCCAGAGAACCTGGGTATGGGGACTAAGAAGCCCCTCGGAGCCCTACCCTGACACAGTATGCTTCGATTTCTGACTGCACGAATTTTCCCGATTACAACCAACAGTTTCGTCATCTGTCCCAATTCGTCCCTCAGCCCCAGCTCATGGCCTTACTGCTCGGTCACAGTGACTGGAAGCTGCCTCTGTGTGGTGTCCAGCACGGTTCGATACATTTTGGTCAGCAGTTCAACCACATGCTCACTGACCAACAGGAAGTCCCCCTTGGAACCCACTGATGATATCTTAAGGAAGGAAAAAATAGTAGGGAAGGGGTTAATTTTTTCTCCTCAGGAGCAGCCTGAGAGATATTAAAGGTTGGAGCAAGAGGTCTGGTTCCCATCACCTCCAGCCCACTCCAGCCCTGTGATGCCCACTGCCTTCTGCAGGGTGAGACCCCTCCCCCCACCCGCTCTGATACCTCACTCAGATGCAAGCAAAAAAGCCCATCCTTGAAGCTGGTGACTGATACCCCGGCCACACTTTCTAGCCCAATGACAGTTTTGGCCTGGGACTTCTTGGAGTCTGTGAGAATCACATGCCCCTTGGTCAGGAGTAGAATTCGAGAGGAAGTCTAGAGAGAACGGGAAAGGGTGAGGAAAGATGGGATCAACCCCCTCCCTTCCAGCTACCATCTTAGCCCGGATCAGGCTGTGGGAGGAGGTCAGGACGCCAGCCTTCACCTTGCCATTGCCACGGTTGACCTTCTTCACAGTCTCTGCCACCAGAACAGGCCCTTCCTCCTTGCTCGTCAGCTTCTGCAGCTTGGGGTTCCCCTGCAGCCCAATGTAGTCACCACGAAATGGAATGGCAACACTGAGGACACACAAGAAGTATGCAGTGGAGACAAAGCCCTTCCCACTGACCCCCAAGGCCCCGCACCTCCCTCCACTGAGTTCCCATCTTAGTCCTCCAATGCTCCTCCCCCGTCTCCACCATGTCCTCTATCTCAGTGGTTCTCAGAGCACGGCCCAGGACCAACATCAGTATCCCCTGGGAATCTATTAGAAAGGCAAATTCTTGGGCCCCATCCCAGACCTGAGGGGTGGGGGTGCAGCAGTCTGGGGTTATCAAGCCTAGTGACTCTGATAGACACGAAGTTTGAGACCCACTGCTCTATCCCACCTGGGAGTAGCTCTTTGCTCTTGCTGACACTGACTGCAGGTCTGAGCAGCTCTCACCTCGGGGGGTACGCAGCCTTCTTGCCCTTGAACAGTTCGCTGGCACAGAGCTTCTCCCTCAGGATCTCTACCTGCTTTGGAGACAGCCGATCCCGGAATTTCTTGCACTGTGAGTTGGAGCAGAAGCTATGATCATGGAGGAAGAGGGCAGGGCTGGGAAGGGAGAACATTGTGATGTAGAAGGAGAGGGACAGGGACTGGAGAAGAGAGACAGAGGGAAAAGGACAGACACTGGACACTTCAGAGAGGGCAGAGGCTGGAGAAGCAATGCGGTGGAGGATGGGACTGAGGGGTGCTGGGGGAGGGAGTATATGCCTAGCACACAGCACAAGGCCAAGTCCCAGACAGGTGCTCAATAAGTATTTCCTAAATAGAAGAATACTGTGCTAAGTGAAATAAGCCAAATACAAAAGACAAATATTTTATGATTCCATTTACATGAGGTACCTAAAAAAACAGGCACCACAGAACAACATTTCAGTCAACGACGAACTGCATGTACCATGGCGGTCCCATAAGATTATAATAGAGCTGAAAAATTCCTATCACCTTGTGACATTGTAGTCATGCATGGTAACATTGTAGCACATGCATCACTCATGTGTTTGTGGTGATGCTGGTGTGAACAACCCTACTGCACTGACAGGTGTATAGAGTATAGCACGTACAACTATGTACGTAATACTTGATAAGTAATAAACGACTATGTCACTGGTTTATGTATTTGCTATACTATACTTTTAATTGCTATTTTATTTTATCATTATTTTTTAAAAATATGTTTTAATTGACTTTTGAGAGAGAGAGAGAGAAACATCGATGTGAGAGAGAAACATCAATCGGCTGCCTCGCACACGCCCTGTGCCCGGGATCGAGACCCCAACTCGGGCGTGTGCCCTGACTGAGAATCGAACTGGAACCTCTCTCCTTCCATGGGACGACGCTCAATCCACTGAGCCACACCAGCTGGGTTTAATCGCTATTTTAGAGAGCACTCTACTTAATATATAAAAATGTTTGCTACAAACAGTATATGCCATGTTATGCCAGCAGCAGCTTCATATATCTCATGTTTATCATGTCTCTTGGTGACATCATTTTCTCATGTGCTTACTTTAATCTCGTGTTGTTTTGCACGGGCTTGTAGCCTGGGATCAATAGGCTGTAGCCCAGGTGTGGAGTAGGATATACCACGAAGGTTTGTGTAAGTACACTCTATGGTGTTTGCACAACAAAATCGTCTAATGATGCACATTTCTCAGAACGTAGCCCCGTCGTTAAGCATCCTTTGTAGCAAATTCCTAGAGACAGAAAGTAGGCTAGGGCAGGAGGTGTAGGGAGTTATTGCTAACTGGGTACAAAGTTTCAGTTTGGGAGGACAAAAAATGGAGATGGATGGTGGTGATGATTGCACAATGTGAATGTGCTCAAATGCCACCAAACCATATACTGCAAAATGATTAAAATGGTATATTTTGTTATGTATGTTTACCACAAGTTTTTGATTGATTTTAGAAAGAGAGGAAGGAAGAGGGAGAGAGAGAAACATCAATGTGAGAGAGAAACATCAATTGGCTGCTTCCCGCATGCACCTGGATGGGGGATTGAACCTGCAACTTGGGCATGTGTCCCGACGGGGAATCAAATCTGTGTCTCTTCAGCTCAGGGGATGGCACTCAACAAACTGAGCCTCACCGGTCAAAGCTACCACAATTTTTTAAAAGGGAAAAAGAAGGGAAGAGGAAGGAAGAAGAGAATCAGAGGGAGGAGAGAAGACCAATGAGAGGAGAGGCGCCGGGACCACTCACCCTGCAGTGGTGGAAGAGCCGCTGCAGCTCCTGGTTAGCTGTGCTGAAGCACCTGTAAGGGGCAGCTGGCCACTTCTTGTCCAAGACACTGGTAGATGGCAAATTGTTCTTCAGCCCCAGTAGAAATTTCTGTACCTGGGTTGGAAGCAGGGGAATTGAGAGTTCAGTGATGAGAAGACAGACCCCCTGACAGGCAAACTCACACCCAGATCTTGACACGTAAATGGGGGAAGGCCACCCAGAGTGAGAAGCAACGAGTGGCACTGAGGAGACTGGAGCTGAGGACACAGAAGGGTGTCATCTCCTGGATCTCTTTCAGCATGAAGTGTAGGCTTGAGGCTGGGCAGAAAGAGCATGATGGGAGTTTGAAGGGAGGGAAGGATTAGTTCGAAGCAGAGACCCGCTAGCCAGGAACGTGAAGTGAGAAGAACCATAACTGGTCTCAATAGTTTGCTCCAAAAGCTTCCTGCTCTCTCAGTTCACAGCTGCCTATGGCTGGCTAGTGAACAGATACCAAATGTCCCCTCCTCTCTGAGCAGCCAAGCCCAACATCCCAACCTGGCATTCGAAGTCTTTTACTTAGAGCAGCACCTCATCCAGGATCCCCTGCACGACCCTGGCACACCAACCAGACAGGACTCCTCGCCGTGCCCTTGCCCAGCCCAGGCATCGCCACCTGTCCCTTAGGCTCACGCTGCTCTCAGCTCAGCACCGCCAGCCGACTCCACCCATCCTTCCAGAGCCTCCTGGTTCTCTGCTTGAGGGTGCCCCTCCTTTCTTTGGAGCCCCCTGCACTTTATCTGTACTCCTGTTTTTGTACTACTGTTATTTGCATAAAAATCTCTCTCTTTAAAAAGTGCCCCAGGTCTTGAGTGTTTTCACCATTTGAGTGTCTGCTCTGTGCCTAGCACGGGTCTAGGTATGGAGACACAGCAGTGAACAGAGCAAGTCTTTATTCTCACTGAGGTCATATTCTACTGGGGGAGGGAAAGGCGGCCTCCCATAAGCAAATAACCACATATAGTGTAATGCCAGTTCATTATAGATGCTATGATGCAAAAAAGCAGGCCCGAGACAGCAAAGAATGGGAGTCTATTCCAGAAACAGAAAGAAAGCTAGTGTGATTGAACTAAATCTAGTAAAAGGAGAGAAGGTCAGAGAGATGGGTGGTCAAGGACAGACCCTAACGGGCATGGTAGGCAAGGACACAGGCTCTCATTCGGAGTGAAAGAGAACATCACTAGAGGGTTTGAAGACAAAGGGTGACATAATCTGATTTAAGATTTTAAAAAATTTAATACAATATATTTTATAATTATGAAAGTTTTAAAACTTACATAAAAGTTTTAAACATTACAATAAAGAAAACATTACAATAAACATCTGTGTACTGTATACCCTTCACCTAAATTCACCAATTGATAATGTTAACATCTTACCCTATCTGCATTCTCTCTAACATACACACACGTATACAAAGCTGTCACATCATCCTAAAGTAGGTTACAGATCTCATAACATTTAAACATCCCCCCTAAAATTTAAGCATACATCTCCCAAGAACTAGGTCATTCACTTATACAATCATAACTCCATCACTACACCTAAGAAAATTAACATTAATTAGATTTACTTATCCAACAACAACACACACTCAAATTTTTCCTAATGTCTTTTATAAACTTCTAAAAATGTCCTTTTCATCTTTTTATTTTTTATTTTTACTGTGCCAGGATCCAATCAAGCTTCACCCGTAGCATCTGACTGTTTAGTCTCCCCCAATCTAGAATCAGGACTCATGAGTCTTTATACTTCAGGGGACACCCAGCACCCTTTTCATTTATGGGATAGAATTATTGAAGGTATAGAACTTGATCTTGAGCACTTCAAGTTCTTGAAATTTTTATGAAAACTTTTTACTAAGACATTAGGTTTAAAAAATTAAAATAGAAGAAAGCACAGCACATAGCATGTTGCTCTAGGAATCAGCCAAGCTCTTCGTGTTCCCACTACAAACACCTGGTGGGCTTGGCCTCATCACCCTGGAATCTCTGGTCCTTGGTCTAGTTTGATTTAACTCCATGAACATTCCCAAGCGTCTCCCCAAATCCTCCATGTGGAGCCTGTGAGAGTTTTATTTATTTATCCATTTATATTTTTTCCAGGTCTAGAAAATTCTGCCTTTCCCTACGTAGCCCTCCTATCCCCAGGTCTACCCAGGGCCACGTTGCCCAGGCCTTTATTAGGCAGTTTCAGGCAGTGGTTAAAACTCTAAAGTCAAATAGTTTGTATCCCAGCTCTACCACTTCCCAACTGTGGGACCCCTAGCAAGTTACTCAACTTCTCTGGACCTTAGTTGGCAGACCAACTACGGTCTCTGGTCTCTGGTCTGCCTCTCAGGGTTGTTGACAGCATTAGAATTAATGCAGGTAAAGGGCTTAGTGCATGGTTAAGTGTTCAAGAAATAGCAGGCATTAGTTTTAGTATTAGTTATAGGCAAGGCAATTGCAAAATATAGACTAGTCAGAAACACCGGGGGAATCAATGCCTAGTGGTTCCCTGCATGCACTCCTGCAGGGGTGCGATTTGGTGAAATCCTGCTCCAAACCCAACAGGTCCTGGGGTGATATTCAGCAGATGCCTGATAATATACAGGTGAAAGAAGAGGTGGAAGAAGAAAAAATAATAAATAAATAAAAGAACAAAAAGAAAAGGCAGAAGAAGGGAAAGTCCTGAGATAAGAGCAAACCAGTCACAGGTCTCAGGAATGCAGTTCCGCAGAGAGAGCAGGAGCCCTGAGAAGGCAGACCCCACGGAGCCACTGGAGGGACCAGGCCTAGGAAAACGGAGCTTCCCCGAGGCAGGGGAGGAGGACACAGTGAATGTTCAGGGAGGCGGCGGAGAGGCCCAGAGCCCCCATTCCTCCCTCTCCGACAACAAAGAAGAGCTCCAATGAACGTGTCTCCTGTCTGAATGATTACAGTTAGTAAGAGTCCTAACCATCAAAAATCAAATCAGCAGGGGGCAGTTCCAATTCACCCGGCCCTCTGTCTAAAACCTCTGTTCCTCCTCCTACTCTCTGGCATTTCCCGAGGCTCCCGCCCTGTCTGGTTTCCCTCGGACCCTCCTCAGGAGCAGCATAGCCATCTGTCACCCTTCTCTGCCCCTGTTTTCCTCTCACTGGAAACTGCCCTGGTCCTGGCTTCTTCCTGCACACTCTGACCAGAGTCCTCCGGGATTAAGATCCTTCCTGACGCTTAATTTCAGACTCGCCTGCAGTAGTTTCAGAAGAGATAGAAGAAAAATATAATTCCTCCACCTCCACTCCAACTCTAAAATTGACCTCAGAAGACTGAACTAGTTGACCCGATGTGCCCTCACTCTGGTCTTCAATGAGGCTCAGCTCTTCAACTGTTGTAAACCATCCAGCCCGTCTCTTCTTGAGTTTGCTGGGACCCCTTCCTCCTACCAGGTTGCCTACAGTGTTCACTCAACCCCAAATGTGCTCTGATTCTGCCCCTGGGCCCTGAGACATGCAGGTCAAGGAAGCTCTTGTGGGGAAAGCTTTGAGTCACTTCTTCTCAAACCCCACATCGTTCTCTTTCAAACCTGTCTCTCCATCCTCAACCCCCACCCATTTCCACCCTCCACACCCACCACTTACTATGCTCTTGTAGATGAAATCTGCCAAGGTGAGCGCAGCCCCTGACCGGAAGTATTTTCGATAATCCTTGCGGGCCTGGCAGGGACATACAATAAAGGAGCCAAAGCAAAGATAGTTAGATCTAGAAGACAGAAGATAGACCTAGAAGAGTTTCTACTCTTTGTCAATCACACAAAGAACAGAGTAGGATAAGGAGCTGAGACCGTACCTGGGGAGAGCAGTCAGACAAGTTGGCAATAAGGAGGACACTCGGAGCAGAAGGCAGAGCCACACATGTATCCGAACCTTCCCAGCATGCACCATACTCCCAGACACACAGGGAGCATACCCAGAAACACCCAGACAAGGACATGCCATTGCAGTGCTATGTCCTAGGTTTGAGCAGGACTTGCTTTCGGCTACTCCTTCCCCCAGCAGCTGAGACAATCCAGAAGGAACCACATGTGGGGAGGGAAGCATGTGTGGGAAGGGAACCCTTCTCCCCTTTCCAATTACCTTCCACCCTCGCACAAAAGCCTGGATCAACAATACTGACGCCTTTATCTTCCCATAGCGTTTCTTTTGCTGCAGAAAACAATGGGTCTGTTAGAAAACTCTACCTCCTGAACCACCTCTCCCACTTCCCGCTCTCATATTGGATTGAGGGGATGGGACTTTGGGGGTAACTGGTACCATGTTGCCCCGAAACCAAGAGGAAATGAGGATCTGACTCTTGCGCATCTGCTGGTAGTGGGTGCGGCAGCGCCAGCCTCGGTACAGCTTCTGTATGAGTGTGGCCAGCTGCTGGATCCTAAAGCGCCTCTGCTCTTCCAGGTAGAAAAGCTGTGGGGAGGTGAAGGGGGGGCAGAGAGGCTGGCCTAGAGGAACCCACTCTCTTCCTGTACCCACAGCACCGGAGCTTCCCAGCCAGGGTTTTATTGGATCATCCCTTTGTCTTCTTAGTTCACTCATTTATTTATTACTTCATTTAAAAAGCTTCTACTGAACTCTAACTCTGCAGCAGGCACTATGCCAGGATTTGGAAACTCAGACACAAGCAACACATCAGCCAGGCCCACAAGGAGTCCTGCTTCAAGCATCAAGCAGAGACACTCGGGGCAGGCCGCGCAAGCACACATGCCTCCCAGGGCTCTCAGGACAGGGTGGGGAGCCGAGGATTCAGTCCCTGCAGAGAGACCTCCTCGTCCACTATCCGCTCAGAACTACACACGCTCCCCTCCCCACCCAGCCTCTCATTCAGAGGAGCTCCCCAACTCTTCCACCTCCCACCCCCACCACGGGCAGGTGCGCACTCCAACTCACAGTCTTGGGGCTTTTAATGAAGATCTTTGTCTTCCCAAAGGTCACCTCCTCTGACAACATGTTCAGTTCCCCCATGATCTTTTCGACCCCCTCCCTACAAGAGCAAATGGAGAGAGCTGCTGAGGGGCAACCCAGGAGAGGATCCTCTCACCTTTCCCCTAACCCTTTCACCCGGGAGACGAGTCCAAAGCTTGAACAAGACTTGAGTCTCTTCCCCCACAGATGTTCCCTGCACTGCCCTTCTCCACTCCCCAGAGTCTTACCGGTCTCCCCCGCTCCAGTGAGGCCAAGTGCTCCGGCTCAGCAATCGGTACCTTTCCAGGAAGGACTTGTACTGCTGGCGGAAGGCATAGCCCGCCCGGCGCACCCGCACGTTCTCCAGCAGTCCCAGGTACCGAGCCTGGGTTGCCACCAACTCCGGGGAGAACTGACCTCGTTGCTGATGCTCATTGGGCTTTATACACCTGGTGGGAGGTAGAGCAATGTCCAGGCTTCAGGAGCTTCACCTCTGCCAGTGTAACCCACCCTGGTCTCTACACCCCAATTCTGCATACATTCCCCTAAGGTGAAAAATTTCAAAGGGTGTGTATACATTAGCCTTTGCAGTGTAACTCACTATAGTACGGTCCCTACCCAAAGCTGATGCTCTCTCTGCTACAGGACTCTCAGCGACTCATCCGGCTGTTTTCCATGAGGAAAGGGCCTCTGACCTCCCCTCAACAGGGACATGTTCTACAGTGCCCAGACCATGTGCATGCTTTTACGTATGTAGCATGTTTCCCTGTGTACCCAGTATGTCACCTGATGTAGTTGGGGTTCTTGGAATATAGGTTCTTCATGAGGATGGCCACAGAACTTTTAAACTGGGCCCCAGCAGTTGGGGGGCGTTTGAGAGAGGCCTGCTTAGGATCACCCTCAGGGAACAAGGACCGAAGGAGGGGGTGCTGGGCCTTCCACATGGCCTGGGACAAGTCCCGGAAGAGTAGGTCATTATTCTTGTCGATGAAGCCATTCACGTTATATGTCACCTGGAGAAGAACATCTGTTGGTCTGGAGAACCCAAGGCCTTGTCCCAGCACTTGGCCCTCCCAGTTCTCATCTCCCCCCAGTTCCTTCCCCATTGCCTTCAGCCTGTGCTCAGGCCCTAGTCTCGACCCTCCAGCCCTGCCATATCACCTTGCCCGCATAGTGGCAGATGCGGAAGCAGCTGAGACCCATGGTGTGGTCATACTGGCGCTGGGCGTTCTGGGTGACTTTGCTCTCGTAGTAATCATGCTTGGAGAAGAGCTGGTTCAGCTTCGCTAGGAAGGTGGAATCACTGACCACCCCAGGCCGCAGGCACTCCTCATCCAGCATAGCCAGGATACCTCGCTGATTCTGGCCAGGGGAATGGCATCAGCCCAACCTAGGCCTGGTCCCCCAAGATGTCCAGGTCCTCTGCCCACTCATCCTTTGCCCTCTTTAACCATCCTTACCAAGTGGGGTGAGGGGAAGGGGATGAAAGAGTTAGGGGAAGGATGTTCAGGGCAGGTCCCAAAGATAAGAAAAGGATAACTCACATGCTCAATAAGGTTACAGATAATGCCATTATCAAAGTAGTCCACCTTTTCCCACGGTATGCCCTGGCAAGGGGAGATGTAAAAAATTACAGGGAGCAGGTCCAAGACAAGTCCTCAAAGACCCCACCATACCCAGGCTCCCTTTCACCCATCCCACAAAGGACCATCAGAAAACCCTATAGTTCAGAGGGGTCCTTGGTGGGTTTCTATTTATGTCCCTGTTCCTCCAGGTTGATGGAGAATCTGTGGTGTGGCTAGAGGGACACATGGGAAGAACCAGAGCAGCACTGAGGGGGAGTCAATGCAGAGAGCCCTGTAGGTGCTGTAGGGCAGAGAGGGGAGTATAAGCTGTTGGGTGAAGACTGGAGTAGGGATCAGCCAACTCTGGGGTGGGGAAGGATCCTGGAGTATATGGAAGAGCAAAGGGCCACACTGCTCCGGCAACAAACTACAGAACCAAACACGTCCGTCCGTGAGTTTATCATCAAACAACAAAGCTAATTTGATACACCTTCAAAGACCTACATCAGCGATTCTCAGTCTTCAGTGTGCATTGGATGGCTTGTTAAAGCACAGATTGCTGCCCCTGCCCTCAAGTTTCTGATTCAACAGGTCTGGGACAGGGCCTGGGAATTTGCATTCTAACATGTTCACAGGGGACACTGATCCAGGACTGCAGCTGAACATGATACTTTAGGACTACATACTTTTAAAAAAAAAAGCAAGAATGGATACAGAAGCAGAAAACCCAAAGACAACCTTTCTCTGGTTTAGGGATTTGTTGGGCACCGGGCCTGCAGGCAGGATAGCTCCTGATCCCACCCAAAGGCCAGACGATGCAGTTCAGGCCACTCCCAGGCGTGACTAGGCAACATAAGCCTTTCTCTCCCTCCTCACCCACAGGTCTTCAGGGGATGCAGGCTGGAATTCAGTTGCCCTCTCACTTCATTCCAGAAATGCTTCCCTGACTGGTGAGATGAATTATGATATTCTTATAATCCTATGTAGCTCTAAAAAAGCATCTTTACATACTGATACAGAAAGACCTCTTGTTAACTTATGAAAGCAAGATGTACAGGAGAGTGTATTCACTGCTATGTGAATACATTTTGTGGGGAAATATATTTACAGACTTGTTTGATTACACTTCAAAGACCTCCGGAAGGAGGCCCGCTTCAGCTGCCTCTAGCTGGGAATAAAATCGAGGAGGCTGGGGATGGGGTGGGAGAGAGGTCTTTCTTTATACACTTTTTTAAGCTTTTTGAATTTTTTTTTTCTTTTTTTTTATCCTCACCCGAGGACATTTTTCCATTTTTTGTTCAGATAGAGTGGGAGGGAGAGAGAGAGAGAAACATCAATGTGAAGGGACACATCGAGTGGCTGCCACCCTCACGACCAACCAGGGCCGGGGACAATCTGCAACCGAGGTACGTGCCCTTAGCGGGAACCGAACCCGGGTCTCTCTGGACCGCAGGCCGACGCTCCAACCGCTGAGCCAAACCGGCCAGGACAGCTTTTTGAATTTTGAAGCATGGAAATGTATTATCTATTTGATCATTTAAAATGTTTAAATAAGCTCTGGCCAGGTAGCACAGTTGGTTAGAGCCTCATCCTGATAGGCCAAGGTTGTGGGTTGGATCACCGGTCAGGGCACATACAAGAAGCAACCAACAAATGCATAAATAAGTGGAACAACAAATCAGAGTTTCTCTTTCTCTCTCTCACTCTTTCTCTCTCTCTCCTCCCCCCTTTCTCTCTCTAATAATCAATCAGTAAAAATTTAAAATAAAAACATACAAAATGCTCTAAAAAAATCCTCCCTACGTCATCACCACAGTGCCTGAAGCTCTGCCACAGCAGACTCCTGAGAGCTCGCAGGGAGCATCCCTGGGAGGATTCTGATGAGCGAGACAGCCATTCACACATTGCAGTGAAATAGCTCAATCAGAGAGCTGCTCTAACACCTAGCCCTCGAGAACAGGGGTTTTCGCTGAACAGGGGAAGGAGTGTGGAAATTCTGAGCCATGGGCACTTCTGGTGAGAAAGTTGGGATCAGGGTGCTACAAGAGGGGAAGGAGACATCAGCCAGGGCCTGGAGGAGATAAAGGATTTGGAGGAGTCAGAGAAAAGCTCAGAAAGGGATGTGGTGGGGAGCCAAGCCCAGGAGAAATGTCCCTTCCAAATTTGGCTCACAGTGCGCCATAGGCCAAGCGCAGCTGTCACTTCACTCTTGTCATGAGTGCCCCCTCCACACACCCTTCCATCACCCTTCCTTGCCTGGCCTGGAGTGGGAGGAGGGGAAGCTGAGGGTACTGAGAGCAGAAAATTAGGGCTTCTTGGTAAAGCTGGAATGTTCAGCTGTGCAGGAGGAACTTTTTGTTCTTTGTGTCCCTACCCGGGAACAATTGAGAGGAAATTGTGATCAAGGAGAGAGAAAGATCTGGGGAAGTGGAGAGAAGGCTTGGTTTACCTCTCTTTTGTATTCCTCTTGTTCCTCTTTCAGCGTTAGCTCTATGAACACCTGCTGTAGCTTCTCATTGCAGTAGTTGATCACGAACTGCTCAAAGCTATTGTCCTAAGGAAGGTACGTAGGTTAACGAGAGAGACCAGCTCAGTCCAAGATGTCCCCTTCCTCTCAGCCCTAACCCACCTCTCACATTCCCCTGGGAGCCCATCCACCCCTAACCCCAGGGAAGGAGGGCACCGAGGTTGGGTGAAGTTGTCTTACCTCTAATATTTCAAAGCCATAGATATCCAGGACCCCCATTACCTTCCTCTTCTCCCCGGTGCCCACCTGAAGAGGAGGAAAAGGTAAACCTGAGGACAGGCCCTGCAGTGGATATGATGGATGTAATTGGAGCAAGGAGCAAACAGAACTCAGGTGAGCTTGACCAAGCTGGAAAGGAACTGTCATTTTATTCTCCTTCCTCTTCTAGGTGCTGTAGGACCAGCAAAGAGGGAGGAAAGGAAAGATGTAAATAGATTCCAGGGTGATGCTCCCATGGTATGACACAGAAAGACATTGAAATCCTCTCAGGAAAATAACCATCTCTTAATTTGTTGAACATTTTACAAAAAATTCTATGTTCTTATTTGATTGAGCATATCATAACCCTATAAGGTATGATTATTCCTATTTTATAGGAAATCAAATTTCAAAAGGGCTAAGCATTTACCAAACCTAAAATCAAATCCCATTTTACTCCACTGACTTCCAATAATACCTTCCAAATTGATGGCATTTTCATGTACATAATTTTTAAATAATAGCTCTATTTTGGTCTAATTCACACACCAGAAAATTTACCCTTTAAAAGTATATAATTCAGTGGGTTTTTAAAGTATATTCAGAAGGTACACAACCATCACCACTACCTAATTCCAGAACATTTTCATCATTCCCCCCAAAACAAACCCTGTACCCACACCCATTAGCAATCACTCCCCATTCCCCTCTACCTCCCTACCCCAGCCCCAGGTAACCACCGATTTACTTCCCATGTCTATGGATTTGCCTACTCTGGACATTTTGTATAAATGGAGTCATTCAAAATGTGGCCTTTTGTGTCTGGCTTCTTTCATTCAACAGTTTTCAAAGTTCATCCCTGTTGAGTATGTACCAGTATTTTATTCCTTTTCATGGTCAAATAATACCCCATTGTATGCACATAGCACATTTTATTTATCCACTCACCAGCTGACAGACATTTGGATTGTCGCCACTTTTTGGTTATTAAGAATAACACTTCTATGAACATTCATGTATATCTGTTTTCAATTTGCTTGAATACATGCCGAGGAGTGAAATTGTTGGTTATATGACAACCATGTACATAATTTCATCTGATCCTCACTAAACCTGTGAAGCAGGTAGGCAGTAACGTTCCATTTTCCAAATCAGGACACTGAAGTTCAGAAGCTTTGTGAAACTGAAAGGCTGCTTGGCTGGCAAGGAGCCTGTCCAGATAGCCGAACTCAAAATCAGTGATGTTTCCACAGCCATCACTACTGGAAGACACTGCACACTACACCTCATTGTCCTGACTCTGTCCATCTCAGCACCCAAGGTTGAGGGCTGGTGACCAGGGCAAGAGAAGTGAGACAGGCGGGGGAGTGCTGAGGGAGGAGGGTGATCTCTCACCTTGATACTCTCATTGATCCGATTCACTATCCAGTTGAAGAGACGGCTGTAGACGTTCTTAGCCAGAGCATCCCGAGCATACTGAGCCTACAGGGTAAGGCCAAGCTGGTTAGTGTGGCAGCCACAGAACAGACTCCAAATACCCCTTCCATAGGGCCCCTTACCTGAATGACATTCAGTGCAGTGACCACCTTTTCTTTAGCAGTTTTCACGGTCCTTGAGCACAAAGATCTCTCTAGGTCCTTTGAATTCAAACCCATCATTTCCCCAATCTCCTGAACACCTGGGGTGATGAGGAAATACAGCATGGCCTGAGAGAGGGCTTTCTCCCAGGAGAGGGAGGTAGGGTTGGTAAGTTATATTGCTGGGAGACTGGTTTCCTGGGTCTTGCTGGACAAGTCCTTGCAGCCAATCCACAACATAGCCCTGAAGAAGGTCTGGGGAGGAGGAGGAGGAGAACGAGGAGACCTGGGAACTTTTCATGCATTATCTACTTTAATATGAGAATCACCCGAAATAGGTGACTCAGAAAGGAGTCAGAACTTATGTCTATCAAACTTCAAAACCTCATTCCAATATGCCTTACCTGGAGTCGTCAATGAGTGTTTGGGGAAGAACTCAGAAGCGGGCCGAGTGGGACTAACTCAGAGTGAAGTTAAGTATGCTAGCAATGGTGGAAGGACAGCAGGAGATTCAGGGAGCTGGGGGGGGGGGACTTCAGCAAGGGGTGCAGACCTCTCCCGTCACGGATGCCACTTGCTTGTGTCCCATTGGCCTGGAACTCATCTGACAGCTCCACATTCCCCAGCTTCAGCACCAGGGCTGTCACCTCTAGCACCCATAGAATCTCCTCCTCTGAGAACCCGATCACAGTCATCGCACACTGAAGGAGAAGGCAGAAATCAGAAGCTGAACTGTGGTGCCAGTCCAATGCCTCCCTTCTCAAAGTCAGAGCCTGGGCTCAGGGGCTGGCCTAAGAGCCCAAGCACACCCCACCCTAGGCACCCACCTGCACAGCCTTGAAGTTGGAGGCATCGTCCATGCCATCCACCCTGGACACTTCCTGGTTCAAATAGCCATAGCCACTTGTGTCCCGCTCGAGCTTCAGGGTGTCTGGGAGGGCCAGCGTGCAGGGACAGAGTTAGTACACGGGCTCTCTACAGCCCTCCAGCCTTGACCTTCACAGCCCTGGCCCAGGTTGGTTCATTCATTTATTCAAAGAAGACTTTTTTGTTTTAGTCTCTTCCCTTGCCTCCTTTGTTTTCAGATCATTAATTCCTATAATACACTACATTAAAAAAAACATGTTTTTGTTGATTTTTTTAGAGAGAGGAAGGGAGGGAGAGAGAGAAACATCGATTGGCTGCCTCCTGCACGCCCCCCATTGGAGATCAAGCCAAAAACCCGGGCATGTGTTCTGACCGGGAATTGAACTGGGACGTCTCAGTCCATAGGACGATGCTCAATCCACTAAGCCACACTGGCCAGGCAACTCAATTTTTAAGTGGTATTTAGGGTTTAGGTGTTTGTCATTATTGGGATTTCCCTCCAACTTTTATAAAAGAACATTTCATTTTACGCTTCTCTCCACCCTCAGGGTTCAAACAATAAAATGAACAAACCAACCCTCCACACTGCTCTGGTCTCAGTGGCTCTGGGGGGGTGAAGGTAAGGGAAGAAGGGGAGCACACATCTCCCACCACCCCAGCCTTCAGCCCTCACCCTTGTAGGTGCACTCACTGTTTGTTCACTAAGCACTGACGCAATGGAGGTGCTATGTTCCCCAGCCCTGACCCCTCTTCTGGAAGGTATTCCCTGGTGTTGTGGGGCTGTCGCATGGCTCTCTTGTGTTCCCCCAGGTGAAGCTCTATCCCAGCCCCTATCACATGGGCTAAGTGTTATTTTTTCTCTCTCCCACAGATAAACAACTTGTGTGTTGGAACTGTGTTTTGCCCCTTCATATTCTGTATGCCCGGCTGGCAGGCAGGAACTTTTTTCTTTTTAATAAATGAATCAAGGGAATGGTCAAAGCTGTTTACCTGAGATGGGAAGAGGTGGGTTAATCATGGAGCTTTAAGGATATTAATTATTTGTTATTCAAATGACATGAGATTCATTGAGTATCTCTCAAACTAGAATTTAATGGCAGCTTATCCCAAAACACAATTTTAAAACCGAAGCCTGCTGAAAAGGAACATCTGAACAGAGACTGAGTCGGAAAGGCCCTTGGGAGGAGGACACTACGGAGGGCCCCGCCTGGACTCATCTTAAACCGATGAGTGACAGAATCAGCCAGAACAAGACACAAGTGTCCTATGATTCAGACAATTTGAACACAACAAGACTATTAAGCCAGGAGGGAGGATGAGACCTGTGGGGGCACCTGAACCATAGAGATCTGCCGGGGGGAAAAAGGAAATAAACACAAGTCCAGAACAGAATAATCAGAACCAAAGGAATGGGCCCTCAGGGTCTAGATACCTACAGTGCCCACAGCTAGAGGGAGGACTGGGAGGAAAACTCTGGCAGGGCCTTCAGTCTCACCAGACCCTGTAGTAATGCCCACCCAGAGCCCCCTCAGGCCAGTACAGCATTCAAGCTGGGACGGGTTCTTCCCCAGGACTAGGCAGCATGCCCCAGGCTTCTGCTCTATGGCCATCTGCACAGACCTATTGGCACTGATCACCCTGTATTGCAGTGTATCTGGTCACACATCTGCCATTCCTAGGAGACTGTAAGTTCTTCAGGGACAGGATCCATGTCTTACTTAACCCTACATCCCTAGAGATTAGCACAGTGTTTGATCATAATAGGTGTTCAAGAGATGTTTGATGAATGAATGAATGAATGAATGAATGAATGAATGGATCCCATGTAGAACTATCTAAGAAGAGAAAAATCAAGTACAGGGTCCTGGATAAGGCAGATGTAGACTCAGGACAACGTCAACTAAAGCTCATCAAAAATTCTCGAACACTTGCAATATCCTGCTTAATTTCCTGCTGAACTATCAATAAAATCCCTTTATTTGAAGTTCGGAAAGGATGGTAGATGGAAATGAGTGATCCACTTTTGAATCCAGCTTGGGGAAAGAGGAACCCCGGCAGGACAGGGGAATACAAGCAGTGAAGAGGCAAGAAAGCTTATTCCTAACAATAAAATCCTAGAAAAGGAAGAGAGCACAGAGGTCACAGGATCTGCTCCCAACAACGGGGGATGAGATTCAGATGAGAACTGCAGGAAGGAGAAACCCGAGGGGCTCAGGAGAAGAGGCTGCGGGGCCCAGAGGGGACTGAATGGTGGCCAGGGGTGCTCTGGGGCAGGCACATACTCAGCAGCTGTGCATCTGCTCCAGCCAGTAGCTGATAGAAGATGTGGAAGTTTCTTTCTCCTTTGAGCTGCTTCACCACTCGGGATTTCTCAAGCAGATCTGACGGAGAAGTAGAAAATAATGTCTTGAGAGTCTGGGAGATACCTCATCTCCCCTCTAACTCTGCCCTCATCCCTGACATCCCTAGTGGTTGGGAAGTCTGGGAGTCTACTGTCCCTCCGACCTACAGTAGCAGATTAGCAGGGACAGTAGCAGAAAGGGACACTCTGGGGCAGGTGGAAGAGAGAGGCAATAAGTGGAATAGGGAGACATACAGTTTGTGATGACACCACCGAGGGGGGATCCTTTGAAGTCAAACTCAATATCCATGTATTTTCCCTTCAGAGACCAGAGAGAGAAAGAGAGAGATGTTGCTTCCTCTTCTCGTCACCACCCTGTCCAGGACGGGTCTGTGGCACATTTCTCCCTCTCAAGTCCCAACACCGTCTCCTCCCAGACCGGGGAGATGTCCACTCACAAATCGAGAGGAGTTGTTGTTGCGAATGGTCTTGGCATTGCCAAAAGCTGCAGAGATGAGGAGAGGGGCAGTGAGGTGGCTGAGGGGAGAAGAGGGACTCTAGGGAAGGAAAAGGAGGAATGTCTTCCAGTCATTGTGCCCATCTCAGGTTTCTCAGGCTGAATGGAAACAGTGGTTTGGGAATGATGGGGAAGAGGGTCTAGGGCCGGGTGACTCTAGGGGTGACAGGGAGGGGTACAGAGGGCAGAATCCTCACCCTCCAGCACTGGGTTTGAGTGTAGCAGTTGCTCCTTCACAGAGTTCACCTGGTCCCCTTTCCCGCAGACGGCCGCCACGTAAGACATCACCAGCTTACTAGCCTCTGTGCAAGAGAAACCCTCACATGGATCCACCCCTCCCTCCTTAACTTCCCTCATTCCAGCACCTCAGACCCTTCAGAGTCGGGAGAGGGAATTTCAGGGACAGGGAGGGGCAGGACGGAGGCCTGGCCTAGGAGAGGCGGGAGTGGTCCCCACGGTGACACCATAGCTCCCCGCCAGGTGCCTCACCAGTCTTCCCGGCTCCACTCTCGCCTGTGATGAGGATGCACTGGTCTCGGTCCCGGAACCTCAGCGACTGGTACGCCACATTGGCCAGTGCGTAGCTTGAGGGGAAGAAGTGGGTAATGGCTAAGGTGGGCCCGTCCAAGACTGTGTTTCTCTCAATGTCCAGCCTCCAAAGTCATCCACCCTCTAATTCTGTGGCAAGTGACCGGCCTAGGAAGGGGCCTCCCGAGGGCCAGGGGAGGAAAGGGCAGCTGGAGCATCTCCCTCAGGAGAAAGGATAGAGGAAATTAGGGTGTTTCATCATCAGGAACGCCCATCACCTTCCCGTGGTCCCTCTACTTACATATGGGGCTTCAGCTCATAGAAGGTACAGTCCTGGTATTTGGCAATGAACTCTGGGCCATAGATGGGCAGCTGTTGGTAGGGATTCACGGAGACCAACACGTTCCCAATGTAGGTCTGGAGCCGGGGAAGGAAGTGAAGGAAATGAGGAGGGTGGGAGAGTGGGGCATGTGAGCTCTCTAGCCACACACCCAGTCAGGGGGCCCATATGCACTCACGTAAATCTCTTTGTTTTCAAAGCGCAGCTGGAGGTTCTTGAGCAGAGACTCTTGCTCCAGGGGTTCCAGGAGTACAAGGTCCTCTACCCCTATGGAACTTTCCAGGAGAGTCATGTCCACAGGGGCTATTGATCCTGGGAGTAAGGGGAGCTGTTTGCTGACGTCTGCTCAGCTTTAGAGACCAGTAACAGAGGAAAGCAGAAGCCCTGAGAGCCACCCCCCCCAGTCCAGTCCTAGAGTCCCCGGCTCAGGAGAGGCCTCTGGACTAGCCCACAATAACTGTGGAGGCTGCATAAAACCCAGCAGGAGGTGGGAGGACCTTCTGCTCCCTGGGTCAGGGTTGGTAGGGACAGGGAGGATATGGTGGTCACCTACCTCTGACCACCAGGGTAAGGAAGGCTTTACAGGTAGCAAGTATAGAAGCACAACTGTGCTTGCAAGAGAGCGTGTTGGGGAGGACAAGATAAGCTTTGTGCCACAGCCAGGCATTGAAAGCTCTCTCTCTCCTGCATTGAGACCCTGGCCAAAGTCTAGACTCCCTGACCATTGTGCCCAGTTCTTCTCAACTCCCTATCTCCCACAGCCTAGCCTATTTCAGTCACCCAACCCACCCAAGCCCATTTCAAAAGTCCCTTCAAAGATCTCTCCTCCCCTCTCATTCAAAAGTGAGATTCATTTTTTAAAGGAGGACCATAGAGGTGATGAGTTTGAGGACAGGCAGGAGTTCCTCCATAAAAGATTAGACTACCCCAAAGAAAATAGAAGTTAGCTTTATTTCCCCAACTGCCAGGACCTGTAGATGTGCCTACACTTCTGTCCCTATTTTTCTACTTCCGGCTTTCATACAAATTCTTATAACCTGGCCTAGACTTTGTTTGCCCCAGCGGGACATTCCCAGATTTTTAGTAGCTGATGGAAATGAGCGAGGAGGAGCAGAGCTGGAGAAGCAGGGAGACTCGGTCTACTGACTGGGCCCCACACAGTAGGCACACAGTAGGTGTTCCCTCAGGAGGAAGCCCAGTTTTTCCTGTGGGACTGAGTAGGTGGGGGTGGCCTGGCTCAGGACAGAATTACTAGTACAATGGTCAGTGCCACTCCCTACAGGAATAAAAGAGCCATACCCTTCTCCACTCCTACATAGCTGAACCTGTGTGGGGGAGGGGAAGGGAGCAGGAATGGATGGTGGAGCATGAAGGGGACACAGGCTGCTTTCTCCCTTCACTCTGCTTTCCCCATGCTCCAGGAAAAGAAAGCATTTGTCACTTCCTGGAAGGATACAATGAAGGGAGCATTGAGAATACTGATAATAGCAGTTCTAGCAATCAAGTAGCGAGTACCATGGGCCGGGCAGGGCTCTGAACAGTTTACATGTATTCATTCATATGATGCTTACAAGAGCTTCATGAACTAGGTACTATATTTATCCCACATTTTCCAGATTTAGAAAAAAAAAAAAAAGTTAAGTAACTTGGCAGGGAAGGGTGAGAAGAAGTAGGGCTAAAAGAAGGCATCTTCTTTGAATTTGGATTTTAGGAAAGTGGAAATATGACTGGTTGGAGATGGGGAAGGGGAAAAGGAAGCAGCCCCCAGATAGGCACCCCAAGACGTAAAAAGAGGAGCAGTGACAGGTCAAGGCTAGACTCACCTAACACTGGAACTAGGGTGTAACTTCACTGTCCCTTGGAGAATGGTGGATGAAATCCCAATTCAAAAGGAAGGGGGCATAGGATGGCTGCCCCAAAGGTGGAGGTGCCTTTGTTAACAGGAGCTGTCCATGGTGTCAGAGAGGCCAGGAAAGAAGCTGCCCTCCTCTTGCCCGTTTCCACTCTTCTGACCTTCCTCTGTGCTGCCTCCTCTAGCCAGGGCTCCTTGTGTCAGCCAAGCCAGAAGCCAGAGACAGCTGCTCAGCACAAAGTCCGAGGCTGTTCCTGCTGAGGGTGTGGTTCGCTTAACCCTTCACAGGCCTGAGGCCCAGAAGAGGGTCACACGAAAGTGCTTCTAAGTAGGAAAGGGTATCTGGCTGGCCTTAGCTGAGCAGCTCAAATTGAGTTCTTGTGCCACTGTCCCACACTTTTGGAAATAAGAGCAGGAGTAGAATTTATAGCCATGGACAAGCTTTTCCAAAGTCAGGAATTTGTCAAGGAGGAAGGTAGGCGTGAGTATCTTCCTAACAAGAATCAGTCCCTCCCTTAAACCTCCCCTTCCTATCTGACTGAGAATCAGGGGGTGTCAGTGACATTACTTGAGGAACTAAGCAGACAAAATACCCAAATACCTCTCCACTACCCCCTACCAATGAATCAGACACCATCATATAGATTTAAAGTTAGTAGTAACACCTGACATTTGTATAGAATTGGCTTCATTGAACTCCCACCTGTACATCACATTGAATCACACCGCCCTGTGAGGTAGGCAGTGCAGATGCTCCATTAAAAAAAAAAATTAGAGGCAAACACTGAGGCTCAGAGAGGTTGGTTACACAATGTGCCCACAGTTCCACAGACAGTATGTGGCAGAACCAGGAACAGAATGCAGCTTCCTGACCCCAAGTCAGCCATAGGTTGCAGCCCAAGTCTTGGTATTTCTCATTTTAATCCTTCTGTGCTAGGATAAGACCTTGAGATAATGTTACCTGGGCACTAGTCCAGCTGGAAATATCTGCCTTCAATAGATAAGCTTATAAAATCCTATCTTCCAGGGTATCCCCTCACCAACCCAGGAAAATTCCTACACAGCAGGCTCCCTCTGCCCACCATTCTCCCTCCCAGGCATGCACAAAGAGCAAATTAGGTAATTACAGAGGACACTTAGCTGAAAACAGTTGATTCTCCAACTTGCTGTCACAGCGGTTTGGTTCAAAGTCCAAACACTATTGCTTTGCAGAAGCACTCTGCATAAGCCTGGCCCATCAGCAGTCCATTATCAACCTGCCCTTTCATAATTTATTGACTTACTATATATTTATATGAAGGGGGGGGAAAGGCAAGGAAAAGAAAGCTGAGTGGAAGTGACATCAGAACATAATCCCATATATAGGTAGAGCAGTGTGTCAGAAATGACTGCAGATTCCCTGTTACAGTGGAGGACACAGATAAACAGACCTGGAGTGAGTTACCACTTTCCCAGGATCACACCACTGCAAACCTGGCAGAGGTGGAAGCAGAACCCAGGTCTCCTGTCTTCCAGGCCAAGAATCTGCAGCCACCTACAACTGGAGTTTATCTGCGTGTCCACCCATCCACTCATTTGAGCGCCTACTATGTGCTCACAAGAGTAGTGATTTAAAGAGAGATGGCAGCCTCAGGCTTAGAAACAATGGCATAAATACCACAAGCTACGGTGACCAACCATCCTGGTTTATCTGGGACCCGAGATGAGTTCTCTGAACATGGAAATCTGAGTGCCAAAACTAGGAAAGTTCTAGAAAAACTGGAACAAGTGAGTCACTCTAAATTAATAAGGTATAAAATACACCTCCAAGTCAGCAGGGATTTCAAGGTCTGTTCAAGTATTCCTGAGGTAGGGACGCGCATTGCAGGTTGTGATCTCGTTTCTCAGACAAAACTGAAGCAACTGGAGCTTCTTGGTCTTCCGCCAGTGACTCCAAAATCACCTTCCTCTTTCCCCCCATTAACATTTCTAGCCTATCCCAGGTTGGGTGGCTCAGTTGGTTGGAGTGTCATCCTGGTATGTCAGGGTTGTGGGTTTGATCCCCAGTCAGGCACATGCAAGAAGCAAGTAATGAATGCATAAATAAGTGAACAACAAATTGTTTAAAAAAAAAAGTTTTTCTCTAGTTTGTGTAGGGGCATGAGGGAATTATTGGGGATGATGGAAATGCTCTATACCATGATTGTGAAGATGATTACACAACCATCTCCATTAGTCAAATTCAGCAAAATTTAAAACTGGTGAATTTTATTATATATAAAGTATACTTCAGCCCTGATCACTGTGGCTCATTTGGTTGGGTGCCATCCTGTGCACCAAAAGGTTACTGGTTGGATTTCCGGTCAGGGCACATGCCCAGGTTGCAGGCTCAATCCCCAATAGGGAGCATGTAGGAGGCAGCCAATCAATGTTCCCCTCTCGCACTGATGTTTCTCTCTCTCCCTCTCTCCCTTCCTCTCTCTCAAAATCAATGAAAATATTTTTTTTAAATTATACTTCAATAAAGCTGGCAAAGAAAGAAACTTCGAAGATTGCTGCCAAGAAATACCGTGACTTTGACATTCCAGCAGAATTCTCAGGAGTCTGGCGCTATCTCCACAATGCTTATGTCCGTGAAGAATTTACTCACACGTGTCCTGAAGACAAAGAAATTGAAAATACTTACGCAAGTGTGGCTAAACAGTAGTTAGGGCAGCTCTTCCAGTAGCAAAATGCTCTCATATTAGAAACATTTTTGGAAATAAGATATGGAAAATACTGTTTTCCCTATACCACTCTCTTATGGAAAAAAGGCTGTCTTTTCTGTATTTGGTCATTGCATTTTAAAGGTCTTCATATTTTTTCTTAATTTTCTTTATTCCCATGACATAACCACTGCAATTATAACCAGTAAAATCCTAAATGATATGGAAAGCACCAAAAAAAAAAAAAAAAAACTTCTAAATTTTTTTTTCTTTCTTTCTTTCTTTCTTTTTAATCCTCACCCGAGGAGATGTTTCCATTTTTTTGTTCAGATAGAGTGGAAGGGAAAGAGAGGAAGAGAGAGAGAAACACTGATGTGAAAGGGACACATCAAGTGGCTGCCACCTGACCCAACCAGGGCCAGAGACAAACTGCAACTGAGGTACATGCCCTTACAGGGAACCGAACCCAGGTCTCTCGGGACCGCAGGCCAACGCTCTAATGGTTGAGCCAAACCGGCCCGGGCAAAACTTCTAAATTCTTTTTTTTTTCTTTTTTTTTTATCCTTACCCGAGGACATTTTTCCATTTTTGTACAGACAGAGTGGGAGGGAGAGAGAGGAAGAGAGAGAGAGGGAAACATCGATGTGAAAGGGACACATCGAGTGGCTGCCACCCGCACGACCAACCAGGGCCGGGGACAAACTGCAACCAAGGTACATGCCCTTAGCGGGAACCAAACCCGGGTCTCTCCGGACCGCAGGCGGACGCTCTAACCGCTAAGCCAAACAGGCCAGGGCAAAACTTCTAAATTCTTTAGTGCTGATTTCTGACAGAGTTCAGAAGCCAAAAATATGATTAAACCAATTCACATTTATTAGTCCTCCCAGGGATATTCACTTTTTAAAAGATGTTACAGAATAAAAACAGAGTTTTCAGATATGGTGAAGATATTTGGTGGTAGAGGGTCTTCTTGACTCTGACAAATTATCTAGGGTCAATTAGTAATATTGCTCAAGTACTTACTATGTGCCAGACAAGGTAAGTGCTTCACATTCTTGCTATTCAAAGTGAGGTCCACAGACTAGCAGCATATGAATCACCTGGGAATTTATTGGAAATGCAATCTTGGGCCCCAATCCAGACTTACTGAATCAGAAGTGTGCATTTTAACAAGCTCCCCAGATGTTTCCTATGCTTGTTTAAAGTGTGAGAAGAACTTTAAACACTTTCTTTTTTTCTATCCTCCCTAAAACAATATGATGCAGCATACCTGGCAATTATGTTTTAAGATTTTATTAATTCAGCAATTAATGATTACTTATGTCTTATTTACCTAGTATAGTTAGAGAAGGAAGAGGGAAAAAGATGCCATCAGTGTGCATTAATCTACATAAATTTACATATAGTCTGCATTCTGTTTTCTTTCTCTTTCACCATCTTTGAAAATGGACAATGGATTTCAATGTAATCTAAATAAGAAAAGAGGCAACAGGTACAGACTTAATGCAAATGCTGTAACAGTTTCCCAGAGCAAAGAAAATAGCCAAAACATAAAAAATGGAAGGTACCAGACTCCTACTACAGAAGCTGGGCACAGACATAATCGAAGGTTTTATTCCATGCCCCCTAATGCTCACTACAGCCCTGCTCCCTCTTCCGCCCTACACAAAGTTTTTAGCAGGCATTTCACAGCTGGATCCACAGGTCTTCCCCCCAGCCCAATGGAGAAATAAAACAAATACTTTATATATCATTAACAAAAAAAATTTAAAGAACTAAAGTACAGAGTAGCTCCCTGAACCAGGAATAACCTATACACTGTTTTTCTATGAGACAGCACAATAGTACAACCTGCTACTTCTGTAAGAATACCCATTAGAGATCTGGCATCTTGGGAAATCATCCAGTCCAGGAATGGAAGTAGAGCAAGACAGACCCAGGATGGGCAGCAGTGGTTAAGAAAGGAAAATAGATGGCATGCAAACCATCTCATTAAAGAAGATGAAATGGAGAAGCTAATTACTGATTACCTGAAAACAAGAGATCCAAACAAGAAAAGTACATGTTCATTAAGAGAAACCACTATACAGTCTATAAAACTTTATTAAAATTGAGATTACTTACAAACTTGTATAATAAAAATGAAAAAATATATAATAAAACATTGACATTTTTTCTTACAGAAAAGAGCGAAAATGAGACACATGGCAAAGGGCCATCCTTGATCATTTTGTTCCTTTCAAACATTCATGTTACATATAATGAAAAATCTTTTAAAACAACACTAAGGCATTACCCATAGGCTAAAACTTACCCGGTAATTCTTTACCCCTGCTATTTCACCATCATGAGAAACTGAGGCAAATGCAGCCTATAACAGTTCTAATACATTATGAGTTATCTATTACATTAACATGATAAAAATGTTGCCCATATTCTGGTAAAGTTCATAGAATGTAATTTCACCATTTTCAAGTTATTGTCAAGAGTGTGAAGAGGGAGATGACACACATGGGTTGGGGTGTGGGAACCCAAAGCCCCACATTTTGGGAGGCTGTGTGCCAGTTCCATCCTCACTAAAGCTGTGCGTTGACATTCACGTGAATCTGTGTTGTTTATTCCCAGCAGGCTCTGGCTCGCACCACATAAGGCACTGAACACCCTTTTGAAGGTAGCAACCATGTAGAATCCAACTCAACGGTAACTAAGTCCATAAGTTAAATTAGCAAGAGACACCACTGGGTTATAATTGCATAGGTTTCCCTAGAAAAATAATTTCTCCTACATCAAGACAGACGCAAAGGTTTTAGGTGCATTTCCCTTGTACAATGGCTATTTTTATGTTTATTACTTGGTTTCTGGTTTCTGTGCCTATGTAACATGAAGGCACAATAAATCTGTCAAACTGTCCTCTCCTTGGTTCAGATAAAATTCTTGGCATTTCAACATAGGTTATTATCTCATATGTCAGACCTGAGTCCAAAGGAATACGAGAAGGACATTTAATTTCCTTTCCTCCTACTTCAACTCTCACTACTCAATTCAGAGAAAAGTTATGAGTGAACAGCTAAGAACCATTTTTACGCAGGCATCCATCTGAGCCCATCTTTTTTTCCTGGAACAACAAAAAGATTGAGGGCAATTGCATAATCCAGTCCCAAGCCTTTTATGGATATCTGGCCTATTTGGATCCCTTCATTCATCAAATCTTTATCATATATGCTCAGTAGAGAGTGGATTGAAGGGAACACAGTCAATAAAGACAGGGCTAGGCCCTAGAGTGGGGTGTATTAGCACAAAATGAAACACTGGAACTATAATGAAACTACTATCAGCAAAATCACCTTTGTACTAGACAGGAAAATCATAAATTTGGAGAGAGAAATAAACTAGTTTTGGTGACATGAAATTTGGCTGATAGAAATTTCTTGTTAGAAGATATCACAGTTGCTCAATTTTCCTTATTGTTGATCATCATTGGTCTCATGAAAGCAATCTTAGTGGGAAAGTAAAGGGGAAATGTTTTAGGCCAATCAGTTCCTATATTCCCATTAAAGAGAGACATGCTCTACATAACTTAGGCAGGCCAATTAGAGGCGATAGATTTCCGATGCAGTTGAGTCCCTGGGCCCTAGGGCCAATTTACAGCTGGATATTTGCAGAGCAAGATGCCCACATGGTAACAAACATGGTTCCAATGTCCAGCTCACTCCATAGTTATCCCTTCAATCCTTTTTGATGAGATCAGTCTGAGAGCTGAGACTATGCTGAAATTGCAAGAGCTGTAGCTGCCAGAGAAAATTAAATGGGGGCTTCAAGTAGTGACTGAGCCAGCAGACTAAGTGGCCAAGAGAGAGACCAGAGCAGCTTCTAAAGGTTTACTAAGTTAAGCAATCTCCGGGCACACAGCTCTGAAGCATCTAGGGCAGAGCCACACAAACAAGCAAGACAAGGACACGCAGAACATCAGAGGCACCGTCCTTCACTATCTGAGAGCAGCCCTTATGCTGCGGGATCCACTGTCATCTCCACTGCCTACAGCTCAGTCTCCACCTACCAGACAGGAAGTAATAAGCTGAGTTTGATTTTACTCATCCCAAATTCAAACACAGAGAAAATAACTAGTCTTGAGATGGAAACTTTATTGCACAAGTTTACTAAATAATAAAAAGAGAGTAGTCTTTTCCTAACTCACAATGCTTTCTCACTAAAATAAGGATATGAGTCAAGAAAAGTCACCCTGGAGGCAAGCTATCACCCTCCTTAAGTAGCTATTTTGGGGAAGGTACCAGTCTCCAGGGAATCTGGGGCTACTTGTACCGTGAATTGCTTTTTCAAATCAACTTACGATTAAATATCCTAGGTCTCAATTTCTGTAAAGAGGACAAAAATAGTATATTCCAGAGGTCTTAATAGTTCTTTGTAGAGGGATAAAATCTTACCATGTACATAACTCACAAAGTCATTAAGGTTTCCCAATATAAAGCTCCTTTACTCTGCAACTTGAACCCACAGCATCTGCCCCCAAACTGCTTATTTTTCACCTTCCACTATATGTCTGTCTGCTGCCAATTGAGGTAGTTGACACTTTAGGACAGTTTAAAGCTATGGGAAACACTGCTGGAAATAATCAACTGGCCACCTGGAGGGGAGTCTCAGAACTGACATTCTGAAAGTCAGTAATGGAGCCCAGGGCCATTCTGAATTTACCTCCTAAATGGCTAATCCAAAGGAGTCATTAAAACTTTTTAAAAAATCATCTCTATGATCATGGTAATCCAGTAAGTCTAATGCTGTGCTCTTATCATCAGTGTCTATCTTCCTGGCTAGAGTAACCATAGCTTTTTTCAAGGTATGAGGGGACGATCACAAAGACAGAACCAGCTAATAACAGAGACTTGGAAATGTACTCCCTCATAAATGGCATTACTGGTTTATAAGAGTACTTCCCAGTGGCAAAAGAATCTGAAACTAATGCCACTGTAATAAAAGGCAGCATAAATCTCTGGTCAGAAATGGAATTGCAAATGAGTATAATAAATTCATAAAAAAAAAGTGTCTAGTCCTGGCCAGATAGCTCAGTTGATTACAGTGTTGTCCCAATATACAAAGGTTGCGGGTTCAACCCCCAGTCAGGGCATATACAAGAATCAACCAATGGCCCCAGCCAGTTTGGCTCAGCGGTTGGAGCATCGGCCCGAGGACCAGAGAGTCCCAGGTTCGTTTCCCACTAAGGGCACGTACCTCAGTTGCAGATTGTCCCCGGGCCCAGTGGGGGTCCTGTGGGTGGCAGCCCCTCGATATTTCTCTCTTTTCCTTCCCCCCTCTCTCCCTCCCACTCTATCTTAAGATGAATGCAAATGTCCTTGTCCTCGGATAAGGATAAAAAAATTAAAAAAAAAAAAAAAAATCAACCAATGAATGCAAAAATGAGAACAGATGTTTCTTTCTCCCTCTAAAATCAATTTTAAAAAATGTATATGTGAAATATCTTTTAAAAAAATGTCTAATCCTGATGGACGAATGAGCATCCAGAGGCATGAGGATTACCTGAAGGTCTATTTTCTGGCAACACAAACTGTGGCAGCTACATAGCTACAAACTGTATGTTCTATCAAAAAACTTCATAGTTTCAGGGCTTATCAAATTAGCCAGATTTGCCCAGCTGGTGTGGCTCAGTGGTTGATCATCAGCCCATGTACCAAGAGGTCGCCAGTTCAATTCCCGGTCAGGGCACATGCCCAGGTTGTGGGCCCAATCCCCAGTGGGGGGCATGCAGGAGGCGGCCGATCGATGTTCTCTCTCATTGATATTTCTATCTCTCTCTCCCTTCCTCTCTGTCTAAAATAAATAAAGAAAAACAAATTCAAAATTACCCAGATTTCCTGGGGAAGGGTATAGACGGTGAAGAAGCACAGAAAGGAACAGGAAGAATGGGTACACAAAGGAAGAAAGAAAAGGGAGATCGTTTCCTGATTCCACAGCAACTCAAAGATATATGACTCACTGACAAGAAAAATGAAAAACCTGTAAAAACCATTTAAATTCCCTAATAAGATAACTTCTCCTAAATAGCAAGAATAATGCTAAAAACCAAGAGGAAGAAACTATAAGAAATGAAACAAACTCTAAATTGTACATATTTCACAGGTATGGGAACAGACCCTGCATGAAAGGGCAAAGGGAGCTAGAAAGAATGAAAAGGAATAATGCAAATTTATTTTTAAGATGGAATTGAAAGTTGAATATAATAAAAAGCCCAATGGACCTCCCTGACAGAAGAGCCTATAAGCATCTTCGTAAAAGCAAGCAGGACTCAGAATATCACATGTTCGAAAATCAAGTCAAAGCTCAACACAACAGCTTTTGGGGCTTTAATGGATAATCCATAGTAATAAATACGTAGGGGCCTATGGGGCTTGTCACTGTGGAGCACTTGCTGATTCTGGAACACAAGTTTCTTACATTTTAAGAAAGTTAAAGTTATATATATTCAGTTAAAGAATAAGGTAAATAAAAATCCATCTTCTTAAACAAGGATTATTCTACACAGCCAGTGTGGCTGTGGTTGAGGTTCGACCCATACACCGAGAGATTGCCGGATCAATTCCCAGTCACAGCACATTCCCAGGTTGTGGGCTCAATCCCCAGTGGGGGCATGCAGGAGGTGGCCGATCGATGTTCTCTCTCATCAATGTTTCTCTCTCTCTCCCTCTCTCTAAAATCAATAAAGAAAAAAACCTTAAAAAAAATTTTTTTTTCCTTTTATTGATTTTAGAGAGAGAGGAAGGGAGAGGGAGAGAGAGATAGAAAAATCGATGGAGAGAACATTGATTGGCCGCCTCCTGCATGTCCCCCACAATGGAAATTGAGCCCACAACCTGGGCATGTGTTCTGATTGGGAATCGAACCTGCGACCTTTTGGTGCATGGGTTGATGCTCAACCACTGAGCCACACTGGCTGGACAAGAAAAAAAACTTTTTTAAATACAAAAAAAAATTATTCTAAAGTCACTGAAATAAAAGCAGAAGTGAAGAAGGCTCAGATTTGTGGATTTCTCTCTGGAAGATACAGCCCAGATAACAGTTCTCACTTCTGAGTGCCAGCCACAGTGGCAGAACTGCCACAACTGAATCAACTTCCAAAGAAGAACTAGAAAGCTGTGCCAGCTATACTCATCCAGTTTCTTTGGAAACATAAAAGGTGAGCTGATTGCTTAACCAATGGGAAGCATTCACTACTTCATCCACTCTCATACCTCAGGGATCCCACAGAGACCACCGAGACCATTTCCAGAGGGAGGCCTTCTCAGGCCTCTAATTTCAGTAGGAGAATTTATGCACTATCTCACGCAGTTTCAAAGAGCTGAGAAGCAATTACACAACACATGCAACATGGACCATCAAGATATCAAGCCAGTCCACATAAAAATAACCGACTACTACCTAAGTAAAAGAGTTTTTCTGTGTAATAGTGGGGTACCGAGAATCTGAGTTCTCCTCCTCAGAGGATGTTTCTTCATAGATTTCATCCTGGGCAATAATGCTTCCTAATCCATACTCCTGCTCATGGACAGAAACCTCATTTGGTGTAAGGTGAAAAGAACCTTCCACAAAGTCAGCAAATCTGGAAAAGAGAAGATAATACTCATTATGAACCTTCTGTCCTCTCTAGTTTTATTTCAAAATAAGAATAAATAGAAACCCTTGATATGCTCAAATTATACTGAGTCTAGACAACAGCCCTGCCTGTCCTCACTCTGGCAGTTAAGTAGATTAAAGCAAAAAAAAAACAAGGAGAAAAGGAAAGCTGAGGTCATAGGCCAACATCCCCTGGAACCCCATCCTGCTTAATAAGCACTAGCCTTTCCTTTTTAGTTATGGAAGTGCCAAGGTTCCTTTAGTCATCTGTAATCCTGATAAGAAAAGATTAAGGGTCATTTACACATTCATTCAATGTTTATGGTCCTATAAACTTTATGCCATCAGGATTCCAAATTGAAGCTTCACACACTCACTGGCATAGTTGCTCTCAAATAATAAGAAAGAAAGAAAAAATCCCACCCCCTCTCCCCTGCAAACAAACAGAAAACACCATGCAAAGAGCAATGCAATACCATCAGAGGGGACACCAGCTATGGTACCAGAGTCTTCTCACCTCTATGCTACAATCAAAGCTAGAGTAGATAGTTCCTTGAGGAACCAAAAAACAGGCTACCACTTAACATATGATGATACGCATACATTTCCCTTGACTACTCCTAGATGAACAGGAAAATAAAGCCACAAATACAAAATGATTACCAGAAGTATGATCTCTGTTAAAACTCAAGGTCACAATTACCCTGACAGATGCTTGGCATATCTGGCCTGAATTTACCTCTTTGGAGACTGGATTCGAGAAATAGTCTTCCAAGCAGAGCAGTTTGGACTGCTACAATATTCTCGAAGCTCCTCTAAAGCCTTTCGGGTCTCCACCTCTCCTTGTATCCGATACTCTTCTTCTGTCAGGAGACGAGGGGGGACAGTCTTTTCTGTTGCCTTACACATCTTTCTGTGCTCACCAAAATAACACCATGAGTCATTAATCAGTAATCTACATGCACCTTTACCTCTAGCTCCCTTCAGTGGGCCCAGCGTACAGCAGGGAGCCTGAACCTTGAGTCATCACTCCCACCTTTCTTCCACAGGTATCTTTAGTTATCATGTACTCTTGACATGTCAGACTATTAGTTACAAGTTAGAATAGTCAATATTATTCATTAGTGTGAATAAATTCACCTATTTTCCAATAAATCACAGACAGCAGTATTTATTTCCCAAAAACTGGGAAAATGACCAAAAATGATGGTATAAGATTGTACTCCATTAATGTGGTTCCCCAAACTGAAGGTATCACCTTGACTATCTGCAGTGAAACAACCATTAATTAAACCATTCCATCCATATCCACTATACAAGGTGATAACATGCTATGAATTACATCTTAAGTTAAGACTAGGACTCTCAGCCCTGGCTGGTGAGGCTCAGCTGGTTGGGTGTCAGCCCATGCACTGAAAGACTGTAGGTTCGATTCCCAGTCAGGGCACATGCCGGCTTCAGGGTTGATCTCCCATAGTGGGTGTGCAGGAGGAAGTCTACTGGTGTTCCGCTCTCATATCAATATTTCTCTCTCTCCCTTCCTCTTTCTCCTAAAAAAAAGGGGGTTGGGGGGTGGGACCAGTACTGCCAGAACAATCTGAGAGCCAACATGAAATAATCTGAAAGCAAATGACCTGAGGCGTTTGATATAAAAGTAATATACTTTGCACCACCTAGTGGTAACATGAACACATGACACCTTACTGGGTACTTCTATATAAAAGACTAGAATAAAATTATAAAAATGCCAATAGAATGTCTAAAGAAAAAGATTCAGGAAGGACAAAATCAGAAACAATAATACAATAAATTTCCATTAGCAAAGAGGCTCCCAGGTCAACACTTTTGTATCCTTTTGCTGTAACTGCATCACACATTGCACATTTCAATAGTTACACTGCCTCCAGTCACCTGTAGGTGATGTACAGCCACCGAATAGGGTACTCCACATTCTTAGTACACAGAGCAATGATGACAATGGCAAGGGCAACATGTGGTATCTGGATACCAGAATACATGAAACATAGTCCCATCAGCTGCAAGGTCCAGGTCAGCAGGTTGATACTTCGTTCATTCTCCAAGGGCCCATACTTGTAACAGACTGCAAAACTCATGAATCCAACTATAAGGACATAGCCTATGAGAAGAGTTAACAGAAGACATTATTTTTCATCTATAATTAGTAAAACAACTTGTGTGGGGAGCAGCAGTAAATTTACTATATAGCAGCAAATGAACCAGGAAAATGGACAAGGTCTTTACTTAATTATTCATATTTTTAAAAATTATTCAGATATGTTTATCTCTTTAAGACTCTATCCTTCCTTTTATACCAAATTTATTTGGTCAAATGGAGCACAGCTATACAGTAAACAACTCTAGAATAGTCTGTTTAAAAAAAAACAATATATGGAAATCCAGATTAATCACCTCTTAAAGGGTAGATTAAGGAATTAAGGGTTACTATCTGTACAAAAAAAGGATTCTTGTTTTCTAGATCAGATTCACTGAAGAGTTATTTCTTTTTTTTAATCCTCCTCCAAGGACTTTTTTTTTGCATTTGTCTTCAGATAAAGCCAGACGGAGAGAGGAAGAGAGAAACATCAACATGAGAGAGACACATCGAGTGGTTGCCACCCACACAACCCCAACTGGGGCTGGGGACAAACTGCAACCGAGGTACGTGCCCTTAGCAGGAACCGAACCTGGACTCTCTTGTCTGTGGGCTGATGCTCTAACTGCTGAGCCAAACCAGCCAGGGCAAAAATTTGTTTTATTTATCTTTTTTTTTCTTTATTGATTTTAGAGCAAGAGGAAGGGAGAGAGAAATAGAAACATCGATGAAAGAGAACATCGATTGGCCACCTCCTGCATGCCCTCCACTAGGGATCAGGCCCATAACCTGGGCATGTGCCCTGACTGGGAATCAAACCGGTGACCTCTGGGTGCATGGGTTGATGCTCAACCAGTGATCCACACTGGCCGGGAAGAGTTATTTCGTAAAGTCCTCGAGTGTATTTGAAATACAATTATATTGACAAACAATCCAGTTTTAAAAAAAGGGCAAAGGACCTAAATAGACACTTCTCCAAAGAGGACATACAGATGGTCAAGGGACATATGAAAAAATGCTCATCACTAATTATCAGAGAGATGCAAATTGAAACTACAATGAGATGTCACCTCATACCTGCCAGAATGGCTTCCATCAATAAATCAATAAATAACAAGTATTGGCAAGGATGTGGAGAAAAGAGAACCCTAGTACACTGCTGGTGGAAATGCAGAATGGTGCAGCCATTATGGAAAACAGTATAGAGTTTCCTCAAAAAATTAAAAATGGACCCTGGCCAGTTTGGCTCAGCGGTTAGATTGCCAGCCTGCGGACCAGAGAGTCCCAGGTTCAATTCCCGCTAAGGGCACATACCTGGTTTGGTTCATGTGGGTGGCAACCACTCGATGTTTCTCTCTCTCCCTCCCTCACTCCCTCCCGCTCTATCTGAAGACAAATGCAAAAGTGTCCTTGGGTGAGGATAAAAAAAAAAAATTAAAAATGGGCCCAGCTGGTGTGTCCCAGTGGTTGAGCACTGACCCATGCACCAAGGTGTCACTGGTTCAATTCCTGGTTAGGGCACATGCCCAGGTTGTGGGCCCAATGCCCAGAGGGGGGCACGCAAGAGGTGGCCAATTGATGAGCTCCCTCACTGATGTTTCTATCTTTCTCTCCTTCTCCCTTCCTCTCTCTAAAATCAATAAAGAAAAAAAAAATCTTAAAATAATTAAAAATGGGACTTCCGTTTGACCCAGTGATTCCACTTCTAGGAATATATCCTAAGAATCTTGAAACACTAATCAGAAACAATATATGCACCCCTATGTTCATAGCAGCATTATACACAATAGCTAAGATCTGGAAACAGCTCAACTGCCCATCAGAACATGAGTGGATAAAAAGGCTGTGGTACATTTTACACAATGGAATACTATGTGGCTATAAAAGGGATCTCTTATCCTTTGTGACAGCATGGATGGACCTGGAGATTATTATGCTAAGTGAAATAAACCAGTCAGAGAAAGACAAATATAACATGATCTCACTTATATGTGGAATCTAATGAACAAAATAAAATGACAGACAAAATAGGTCCAGAGACATGGATGCATGGAATAGACTGACAGATCTCAGAGGGGAGGAGGATGAAGGCGATGGGAAGAGATTAACCAAAGAACTTATATGCATAGCCCATGGACACAGATACCAGTGTGATGAAGGCCTGGGGTGGGGCAGGGGCTGAGTGGAGGGGGACAAAGGTGGGGAAAATGGGGGACATCTGTAATACTGCCAACAATAAAATATATAAACAAAAGAAATACAATTATATGAAGAAAGTCGATTTACAGTTTTTCAGAATGACGCCTATTGTGTAAAGAAAGGTGTACCGCCCTGGCCGGTTTGGCTCAGCGGTTAGAGCGTCGGCCTGCGGTCTGGAGAGACCCGGGTTCGGTTCCCGCTAAGGGCATGTACCTCGGTTGCAGTTTGTCCCCGGCCCTGGTTGGTTGTGCGGGTGGCGGCCACTCGATGTGTCTCTTTCACGTTGATGTTTCTCTCTCTCTCTCTCTCTCCCTCCCACTCTATCTGAACAAAAAAAAAAGGTGTACTTATCAACAACACAAATTAAAGTCTTCTCCAGAGCAGCATTTTAATTTTTTTAAATATGTTTTTATTGATTTTTTAGAGAGAGAGGAAGGGAGAGAGAGCTAGAAACATCTATGTGAGAGAGAAACATCAACTGGCCATCTCCTGCACACCTCCCACTGGGGACTGAGCCCAAAACCCGGGCATGTGTACTGACCCGGAATTGAACCAGGACCTCTCAGCCCATGGGATAATGCTCAATCCACTAAGCCACACCGGCTGGGAAGCATTGTTTTAATTTAAGAGATGGTAACAATTGCAGAGGGTTAAAAATAAGTAAAGAACTATGATTCTCAAAAGTTAATAAAATGGCATGGACTATTAAACACCTAAAAGTTAATTTCATGACCAAATTAACTAAAGTAGCTTATAAACATATAAAAAGGAAAGCAAAACCGACAACACTTACTTAAAAGATACTGCCAGTAACACCTCCAGATCTCCTGTACATTTTTAAAAACTAGTTGAATGAGGTACAGCGAAAAGGACCAGCCTCCCACCAGGATGATGTAAATGGGACTTTTCTAAGACAGAGTAGAAGTGAAAGCAAAAAGTTACACAGGCATTCCATACATAAAAGCAAAATAGAACTATGTTTTAAAAAATTCAAACTACTGAAAAACACATTCTTACAAAGTTTTCCTTAATATTTAAAATGGTACAGTCTGGGAAAATGAGATGCTAAATAACTTAAAAGCCTACGTAATTAGCAAATAGACTTTAATCCCCCACTGAGAACAAAATTTTAAACAAAAAGGGAGAGTTTTTATGTAATCAGGCTCCAAGTTTCATCTTGGAAAGTACCTTTCTGAATCAAGGCAAGAGTTTAGGACAATGACTTAGCCACCAATGCAAATTTTCAGTGCTGTTAGATTACCTAAGAAAACTACCTTTCAACTACCCAAGCTCATCTTAACCACATGAGTATTCTGCTACTTACCTTGGGCATAAACTTGGACAGTATAAAAATGATGATTAGCAGAGAGGCCACAATTCCCACACTCATCCCAGTAGAATAGTAGAAGATTTGGCTTCTACAGAGAGAAAATTTATTTCATGACTATGTGTGTACTGTTCATACATGACATTGTTCCAACTAGGACAACTATCTCGGCCAAAGATAGAAAAAAGATACAAGATTATAGCAGGTATTTGACCAAAACTTGAGGTCAGAAAATTAAAGAGACTAGAACGATGTAGTTGCTGCCAGATTATAAGGATTAGTATCAATGAGGTCCCCTCAAGTATATCCCCAAAATAAACCTCTGCTTAGTCTCCCACTCCCATCCACAGCATCTCTCCCAAGCCAATTTTCAAGAAGAATCTTTCTTCTCAGGAACTGTACAACTTCTCTAGAAGAAAGAGACAAGAATACTGCCTTGTGGACACAGAAAATTAGAACTGAACTGATTATCCAGAATTGATTACTGAGAAGGATCAACCAAACACAGGGCCTAGAACAGAGAGCTCCTACTCCCATTCTAGGCTCTATCTATCAATTATTCTTCCCTCACTGAGTTTCTCTCAGGATCACCCAAAGAAGGAACAACTTCCACCAACCTCACTCCAGCCCCACTTCAAACTCCTATTGTCAATCTTTCATTCACTACTCCACAAATATTCTCTTTACTTGTATACAAAGATAATGTTGATTCTATCTTTGTTCAGTGTTTGTTTAGTTATCTACCTGCTTTCTTTATATTTGTACATACCAGTTGCACCTAGCTTAGCAAGTAGGTTCCTAAAGGCAGGAAATGAATAAGTGGTTAATGTTTGTCTCTTTACCTCTGAAGAGCATGAAATTTATCAACACACAGCCCAGTAAAAATAAGGGTTTAACAGGTTATTTCTAATGGTGGAGAGTGATTGATATATTTATTGGCTAAATCCCATCACAAGATAGGTCAATTTAATAGGGGGATTTCATTATTACCAGTCTTATTCAATACCAGAAGAAGAAAAATAAATAAATAACACACATATTATTTTTTAGAATTATCCAAACAAGCAATGGCCTAGCCATAAAGTTCCTGGAAAAGGAAATGGCAGCACTTAAGGTTTTTTTTTTATCCTCACCCGAGGACATTTTTCCATTTTTTTGTTCAGATAGAGTGAGAGGAAGAGAGAGAGAGAGAGAGAGAGAGAGCGCGCGCGCGCGAGAGAGAGAGAAACATCGACGTGAAAGGGACACATCGAGTGGCTGCCACCCACACGACCCAACCAGGGATGCCCTGCAACCGAGGCCCTTAGCAGGAACTGAACCCGGGTCTCTTGGGACCGCAGGCCAGCACTCTAACCACTGAGCACGAGCCAGGGCAACACTTAAGGTTTTTATGATAAAAGTCAAACAGAGTGGGTCTGAGCCTCGTCATTTCCCACTCTAGCCTTGAAACTTACCTGCTCAGTAAATCTCCACAAAAAAATAACATAAGTCCAAGGAGGAAAACGAGAAAGAGTTTGGGGTCAAATCCTGAAATAAACAGAGACTTCTGCTTAATAGGGGAACCAAACAATTTAAGGCATTACAGTAGTCCACCCTCATCTGCAGGGGGATATGTTCCAAGACCCCCAGTGGATACTGGAAATCGTGGATGATACTGGAAGCCTACATATACTATATTTTCTTATACAAACACATCTTTGATAAAGTTTAACTTATAAAATAGACACAATCAGAGATTAACAACAATAACTAATAATTAAATAGAATAATTATAACAACATACTATAATAAAGTTACATGAATGTGGCCGTTCGTTTAAGGATTCCCTGGCTGAAGTCAGTACAGGTTCAATGTTTTCTGGCGCAATACACTGCCATCAATTGGAACACGTTTTCTGTTCGGGTCTTCCACCCACAAATTGATTGCCTTTTTCGTCTTAACTAAGCATTTATCATGCACTATGGCTGTTGTACCTTTTGCAATCTGAGGTGTGATAGCAAAACTAGCATGGATTTATTTTTTGTTCTTCACAATTTCATGTATAGAAGATTCATTCTTGCCATTTATCTTAGCAACCTCAGCACACAATATTTTTCTCTTTCCTCATTAAGTCAATGACTTTCACCTTTTCACTTAAAAGAAGCACGTGACAGCTTCTCTTTGGCATATCCAAATTGCCAGCATCACTATTATTGTGCTTTGGAGCCATTATTAAGTAAATTAAGGATTACTTGAACACAAGCACTGCAATACAGGACAGTCAGGGGTGACAATCAATCTGATGAACCAAATGACTACTAAGTGACCAACAGGAGAGTAACATATACAGTTTGGATACACTGGACAAAGGGATGATTCATGTCCAGATGGGATGGTGTGAGATTTTATCACGCTACCCAAAACAGCACACAATTTAAAATTTATGAATTGTTTATTTCTGAAATTTCCCATTTAATATTTTCAGACTGATGCTGAATGCAGGTAACTGAAGCCACAGAAAGTGAAACCATGAATAAGAGGGAATTACTTTATAAAATAAAAAGCAATGTTGGCATTATTGGTCAGCTAATAAAATAAATGTAAACAGCCCACCCAAACAGCCCAGCTTTGGGCTGGGCACCCTTCCAAAGAGAAAGTGTAATTAGGTCTCTGTCTAACCTGTACTTTCCTGAAGATCTTATTTTTATTTTGGCTACCTACAACAAGGCTGAAAGAAACCAAGCTTTGCTTTGGATAGAACCAGGCATGGTGCCATGAGCACTTCATGCAATCGCCCACAAGGGGTCTCTACCACTCTGGCTTTCAAGCCTTAAGTCACTCAGGCTGGGGATATAACAGATTTGCCTAGAACTTTGGATCAGGGCCCTCTGTTGTTCTCTAACTGGCTGTTTTGCTTGCCCAACACGACAATTTACTTCCCTCTACACAACCACTGTGTTGGAAAAGGCTACAAACACATCTCATCCAGGACCAGGAGGTCCAAGCAAAGGCCCCTTAGGGGCATAGCAGACCCTCCCACAGCTTTCACACTCAAGAGCTGAGTCTAGGGGAGGTCCACAAATGAAACAGGAGAAAGGATTAGTAAATGTAAAAGAAATACAAAACAAAACAGACCAATCCTATACAACCAAAGAACTGGAACTCCAGAACAATTAGGTCACAAACCACACTTCATAGCAAAACCCAGGACCATTTCTACTTTTCACAACAATCCAGGACCCTGGGTGGTAACCAAGAAGAAACCAAAAGTCAGAGAATTCAATAGGGTAATGGTTCGCCTCCTCTGTGAAACTTTCTCAGACATTCAGAGAAAAGAGAACTTCTCCCAGTTCCACTGAGTAAGCCTTAAACTGCAGTGATCTTTATATTTATCATTCCACAAATATTTTTTACTTGTGAAGTATTAATATTCAGTTCTACCTTTCTTCAGTTTTTATTGTTTAACCATTCATGTCTTCAAATGTAGACCTGTACATTTCAGGACATCTATCCTAGCAGGCAGGAATACATCTTTCTTACTGAAGAATACTAGGAATATCAGGTCAGAGCCACTGGAAGCATTAGGAATGTGCATCTTCACAATTCTAGGTAAGGAGGTACTTATACAATGATCAAGGTGAAGTCTTGATTCTAGGCCTAAAGGGCTTTATATGGGCGGAGCCTCTCTAAACTGGAGCAGTGGTGAACTCAGGTTATAATCAGAACCAAAATGGAATTATCTTGGGCTGACTTTTCTGTCTCACGAATTTCAGTCCCTCCAAAGTTCAGTCCCTCTCACTATAGAATCCATCAGAAAAACACAGGTAAGACTTACTGCGGGTCACAGTGACACTGTACTTGGTGTCTTCCTCTATAATCTCAACTTTGAGGCAGGTTTTTGTGCTGTACAGACCCACGTTAACATAGGTGTCATTCAATTTCTCTTTTAAAAAAGAGGAAAAAAAGTTCCAGATACTAAACTGCTCTAGTTCCTTCAGCTTCTCCTCATTCTCCACCTGGGTAACTCGCACCAGTTTGGAACTATTTACCCGGATCTATAACACAAAATCAAGATGAGTTTTTCACAACACAATAAATAAAAAAAAAAAAAAACCTTTAGAGTAAATATCTAAATCAGAAATGGCACTAGTTTTCCACAAGGCTTATAGGAAATATGGAGATACAACAGCTACAATATAATTGGGCAAATAACAGTGTACATGGTACAGACAGGCAGCGTTACAATGTCTTTCTGTTAACATGATCTGAATCTACTATTAGGCCAGAACATAGGGAGAAAAAAAGACTTCCACAATACAGCTATTTATAAGAGATCATACAAAGCAAGAGTCTAGAATATTAAGAAAATTGCCAGGCACAAACAGGCCCAAAATTGTTTCCCATAATGACAGGCTGAGAAGTTTAATTCTTTGTCACACAAATCACTGATTATGGGTAAATGTTGGTTATAATTTGCTTCAGATGGAATATGATCTTCATATTAGACAATAAAAAAAAGAGAGAATTAAAAAAAGAAACCCACCCTTATGTTTTTGATGTGAACAACAAATACCCTTATCAGTAACTATGCTTATGGCAGTAGCAACATTTTCAAAAGGGCTCATTTTGTTCAATCATTATTACAGCCAGACACTCTTGCTTTGCCAGGTGGTTTAATGGTGTTATGAAAAAAATGAGACCAAGTCATTCTATCAAGGGGAAACTTCAGTTCAGGAGGTTTATGAAACATGTTGTGTAGAATCAAAATAGAAGCAGCAAGGCAAAAGAGTTTACATCCTGACAGGCAGCCCAACAGTTTCCAGACCAAGAAAGGCATAAGGCCTTTTAAAAGGACAGAGGACAAGAGAAGAAAGGAGTTTCTTTGGGAAAAAGAAGACTGTCAAAGTACTCACTAATACAGAGAGACAGACAGACATTCACAGAAGCTGCCCCTGCCAGAGGCCTCCAAATTATTACCTGTATCCGTGTCCATATATCGTGCCACTTTGGGATAAGCACATTTTCATAACAGAATTGTTGTCTGGTAATCATATTATAAACTCGAGATTCCTGAAGTGTGACCACTTTTACGTCAATTTTAGCTTTATGAAAAGAAAGGAAATAAGAATTAATATAACAGAACAAGTTAATAACTATAACTCATTCCACAAAGATTTAAACTGACCACTTTCTTAAAGTTGGGCTTAAAATGTTAGAGACAGAAACAACTGAGATGAGAGAAGAAATAAGGCAGTCTTATTTCTGTCAAATTTAATTATTTAAATATTACAAATAGTCATTAACCCAGAATTAGTAATAACAAAAACTACTATGAAGTACTTATTAAGACAGACAGTATGCTACCTCACTTAACCCTCCCAACAATGTTATGAGGCAGGTAGTCTCACAATCACTATTTCACAAATGAGGAAACATGTTTAAGAAGGATGAACTTGCCCAAAGCCACACAGCTATTAAACAGCTTAACTGACATTCACACCCAGGTCCTGTTTCCCTTAAAAAGGTACAGCTAAAGTAATCCCATGTGGTGATTTTTCTCTATCCCTTTCCTGAGGAGGATGAAAAGAATTGATGTTTTGGTTTTTTTTTTAATCCTCATCCAAGGAAATTTTTCCACTTATCTTCAGGAGAGGGGAGAGGGACAGGGAGATGGAGAGAGAGCATCGATGTGAGCATCAACTGACTGCCTCCCACATGACCCCGACCAGGGCTGGGGACTGAGCTGTAACCAAGGTACGTGCCCTTGACCGGTATTGAACCTGAGACTCTTTGGTCCTTGGGCTGACGCTCTAACTGCTGGTCTGCAGTTAGAGACAGAAACATAAGGAACTATTACAACTCAACAATAAAAAGAGAAATAACCCAATTTTTTAAACGGGCAAATGACTTTGGTCCTTGGGCTGACGCTCTAACTGCTGGACGCTCTAACTGCTGGGCCAAACCAGTCAGGCCAGAATTGATGTTTTATCAATTTTAAGATGCTAAAGAGCCTGGCTGGTGTGGCTCAGTGATTTGAGTGTCATCCCATGGGCTGAGAGGTCCCAGTTCAATTCCAGATTCCAATCAGGGCACAAGCCTGGGTTTCGGGCTCAATCCCCGGTAAGGGGCATGCAGGAGGCAGCCAATAGATGTTTCTCACATCGATGTTTCTCTCTCTCTCTCTCTCCCCCTTTCTCTCTCTCTAAAAAAAAAAAAAAAATCAATAAACACATAACAGATTGCAAAGTTGCTTGTCTTCCTATGCTGTTTTATTTCAAGTTTTAAGAAATAAAACAGCATTTCTGGCTGGTCTGGCTCAGCGGTTAGAGCATTGGCCTGCAGACCAGAGAGTCCTAGGTTCAGTTCCCGCTAGGAGCACATAACAAATAAAACTCTTAGAAGAAAACAAAAGTGTAAATCTTCGTGATCTTGGATTAGGTAATGGTTTCTTATATATGACAATAAAGCATAGAGAAAAAAAAGATAAATCAGACTTCTTAAAAAATTAAAACTTGTGTTTTTTTGAAACTACAACCCACAAAATGAAAGAAAATATTTACAAATTATATATATGATAAGGATTTAGTATCTAGGATACATAAGGAACTATTACAACTCAACAATAAAAAGAGAAATAACCCAATTTTTTAAACGGGCAAATGACTTGAATAGACATTTCTTCACCGAAGATATACAATGGTGAGGATGTGGAGAAAAGGGAACCCTCATGCACTGTTGGTAGGAATGCAGATTGGTGCAGACACTATGGAAAACAGTATGGAGTTTCTCCAAAAATTAAAAATGGATCTGCCTTATGACCCAGTAATTCAACATCTGGGGAATGTATAAAAAAAATTTAAAAACAAACTCTACTTCAAAAGAATATATGCACCTCTCTGACCATTGTAGCATTATTTACAACAGCTAAGATATGGAAGCAACCCAAGTGCCCAACAATAGACAAGTAGATAAAAAAAAACTGTGGTACAATCCTGGCCGGTTTGGCTCAGCAGTTAGAGTGCTGGCCGGAAGACAAATGAGTCACGGGTTCGATTCCAGTCAAGGGCATGTACCTTGGTTGTCATTCGTCCCCAGCCCTGGTTGGGGTCGTGCAGAAGGCAACCAGTCAATGTGTCTCTCTCACATCGATGTTTGTCTGTCTGTCTGTCTGTCTGTCTCCCTCCCTCCCTCCCTCCCTCCCTCCCTCCCTCCCTCCTTCCCTCTCTTCCACTCTGTCTGAAGATAAATGGAAAAATATCCTCGGGTGAAGATACAAAAAAAAAAAAGCTGTGGTACATATATACAATGGAATATTACTCGGCCATAAAAAAATAATGAAATCTCACCATTTGCAACAGCATAGACAGACCTAGAGGGTATTACACTCAGTGAAATAAGTCAGAGAAAGACAAATACCATATGATTTCACTTATATGTGGAATCTAAAGAACAAAATAAACGAACAAACAAAACTGAAACAGACTCATAGACAGAGAAAGCAAACTGGTGGTTGCCAGGAGGGAGGGAGTTTGGGGACTGGGTAATAGAGGTGAAGGCATTTAGTACAAATTGGTAATTACAAAATAGTTACAGGGATATAAGTAGAGCATAGGAAATATGTAGTCAATAATATTGTAATAACTATGTATGGTGCCAGTTGGGGTACTGGAAGTATTGAGGAGAACACTGTAAATATATGATTGTTTAACCACTAAGATGTACAACTGAATCCAATAAAAATAAAACTGAAAAAAAAAGAGAAGATATACAAATGGCCAATAAGCACACAAAAAGAGGCTCAACATCATTAGTGATTAGGTAAGTACAAATCAAAACTACAATGATATACCACTTCACACTCACTAGGATGGCTATAATCAAAATGAGGACAATAACAAGTGTTAGTGAGGATGTAGCGAAACTGGAACCCTCAGACACTGCTAGCAAGGATGTAAAATGGAGCAGCTTATTTAAAAACAGTTTGGCAGTTCCTTAAAGAGTTCAACGTAAAGTTATAATATGACCTAGCAATTCCACTTCTATATATATACCCAAGAAAAATGAAAACATACTGTTTATACCAAAAGTTGTACAAATATTCATAGCAGCAATATCAATAACCAAAGAGTGGAAACAACTGAATTGTTCATCAACTGATAAACGGATAAACAAAATGTGGCATACGTATACAATGGAGTATTATTCAGCCATAAAAAATACTGGAAAAAAGTACTGATACATACTATAATAAGGATGAACCTTGAAAAATTATAATGAATGACAATCCAGACTAAAAAAGATCACATATTGAATTATTCCATCTATACGTAATGTTCAGAATAGGCAAATCCACATAAACAGGAAGTAGATTAGTGTTTGCCAGGAACTGGAAGGAGAAGGGATTGGGTCATGAATGCTAAGGTGTATGGGGTCTCATTTGGGATGAATGAAAATATTCTGTAATTAGTAGTGATGGTTTTGCAACCTGTGACCACACTAAAAACCACTGAAAGGGTGGATTTTATGGTATGTGAATTATATCTCAACTTTATTTTACTTTTTTTTTTTTTTGGTACGTGCCCCTAGCGGGAACCGAATCTGGGACTCTTTGGTCTACAGGCTGATGCTCCAACCGCTGAGCCAAACCAGCCAGGACTATTTTACTTCTTTTTTGTTTTGCTTTTTTGTTGTTGTTGTTAATCCTCACCCGAGGACATTTTTGCATTTATCTTCAGATAAAGCCAGAGGAAGAGAGGGGGGAAGAGAGAGAGAGAGAGAGAAAGAGAGGGGAGAAGAGAGAGAGAAACATCGACAAGTTGCCACCCCCACAACCACAACTGGGGCCGGGGACAAACTGCAACTGAGGTATATGCCCTTAGTGGGAACTGAACCTGGAATTCTCTGGTCCACGGGCCGATGCTCTAACCGCTGAGCCAAACAAGCCAGGGCTATTTTACTTCTTTTTTATTGTTGAAAGTATTACAGGTGTCCCTCTTTATTTCCCCATTGACTCCCTCCCTACTTACTCCCACCCCCTCCTGCCTTTCCCAAACTGATGTCTGTGTCCATTGGTTGTGCACATATATATATATATATATATATGTTCTTTGATTTATCTCTTCTCTCTCCCCTCACCCTCCATCCCTTTGAGGTTTGTCAGTCTACTTCTATGACTCCGGATCTATTTTGATCAACGGCTTATTTTGTTCGATATTCCATAAATGAGAACATGTGGTACTTGTCTTTCTCTGACTGGCTTATTTCACTCAACGTAATACTCTCCAGGTCCCTCCATTCTGTCTCAAAGGGTAAGAGATCTTTCTTACAGCTGCATAGTAGTACTCCATTGTGTAAATATACCACAGCTTTTTTATCCACTCATCTACTGATGAACACTTGGGCTATTTCCAGGTCTTAGCTATTGTAAATAGTACTACTATGAACATAGGGGGTGCATATATTCTTTCTGATTGGTGTTTTACACTTCTTAGGATATATTCCTAGAAGTGAAATCACTAGGTCAAATAGCAACTCCATTTTTAATTTTTTGAGGAACCACCATATTGTTTTCCATAGTGGCTGCACCCAAATAAAAAATAAATAAAGATAAAAATCAGCCCAGCCAGTGTGACTCAGTGAATTGTCATCCCATGGACTGATAGGTCCTGCTTCGATTCCCAGTCAGGCACATGCCTGGTCGGGGGCATGCAGAAGGCAGCCGATGGAAGTTTCTCTCTCACATCAATGTTACTATCTCTTTCTCTAAAAAAAATCAATATGAACATACCCGTGTTTTTTTATCTTTTTTCTATCCTCACCCGAGGACATTTTTTTGCATTTATCTTCAGATAGAGCAGGAGGGAGAGAGAAACATCGATGTGAGAGAGACACATTGACTGGTTGCCACCCACACAACCCCACCCCGGGGCTGGGGACAAACTGTAACCAAGGTACATGCCTTTGGCGGGAACCGAACCCAGGACTCTCTGGTCCACAGGTTGATGCTCTAACTGCTGAGCCAAACTGCCCAGGGCTAAAAACATGTGTGTGTGTGTATTTTTTTTTTAATCCTTACCCGAGGACATTTTTCCATATTTTGTTC